AAACTCAATAATGGGTTTGAAAGGTTTCGTTGAAAGAGGAATTGCCCCGATCATGGCGGGTCCCACCCGCTCAACTTCATCAAAGTTCGAATGCAATTACAGGACGAACCCCCCTCCAAAACCTTAACCCCCACATTCACTCTCTCCGCCCCGCCTTTGCCTTCAACGGCACCACCATCGCCGCGCCAAACACCATGCACATCCCTCCTCACCACAGTCGAAGGTAGGTCTCATCTCCGTTGAATATATACACACGCAACCACACAACAGTCACCATAACCCAACCCCTAACCCAGGCCCGAAAGCTTCGGCTATGACACCATTTCCACAACTTCCAACCACCGGCCGACGAGCGGCTCGCCATCTTCAATGGCAATTGCTTGTTTGCTAGCTGCGGGGCTTTGTTGCAGTTCTGTCTTCCTTGCTAGTCACCATGATTAATTAATGATGATGATGTTGAGGGATGATGACGTTGCAGCAGTGGGGCATGATTTGTGGTGGTGATGATACATGTGCGCGCGTGTCTATACAGACAATATATATATATTATTTGGATTAGGGAATGAGATAGGAAAGAGAATTAGAGAAAATTTGGGTTCATGGGTTTTACCCAATAACCCATTTAAACTTTTTTTATTCAGGGGTATTTAAGTCAATTGTATTTGTCAATTTTATATCAAGGGTAATAAAGTCAATTTATCATTATGGGGGTGTCTTTGTTCGTTTAATCAAACTTGAGGGGGTGTGATTGTTCAAAAATAGAATAACTTTCATCTACCTGTCCTTATACCAAACCTCAGGGGGTGTTGATGTACTTTACCCATTATTATAAGCAACTAACGCCTTTCTTTTGAAGCCCCCATAACAACACCAAACAAGCTATAACTTTAAAAAAGATAAATAATGAGCCCATTTGTATGAATGGTCTCTCCTCCTCAAATACTAGGTAGGAAATTGAAAATTAAGGCTTGTTGGGAGTAATACTACAAGTCTATTTGTGTTTTTTTAACAATTTTTTTTTAAAAATAATAATAAATATATGTGATTAAGATGTTGGGAGTAATATTACAAGTCTATTTGCGTTTTTTAACAATTTTTTTTATATAATAATAAATAAATATATGTGATTAAGATGAAAAGAAAGGGAGACTTGAAAAAGATTCTTAAAACTTTTTAGTTATCTTGGTAAGAAAGAAAAATTTAATGACATAAATCACCCTTTAAAAACTTCTTAATTCAGATAAAATAAAAGAGAGACTTTAAAAGAGATTCTTAAAACTTTTGAGTTTTCTTCACAAGAAAGAAAAAATTAATGTCATAAATCGCTATTAAAAAACTTCTTAATTTACTTTACAATTCTACCCCGTCTCTCTCTTTATATAAAATAAATAAATAAAATTAAGCTGCAAGAACAAAAACCACCCACATTCTCATGAGCCAATTTCATTTTATTTATTTTAAAACATGAATAAGACTTGTCTACTCACTGATAAGTAGGTCATTCCTTGATTCAATGCACCAATAGTTCATAATTACAAAATTTGGAAGGTAATAAATAAAAACAATAATTTTTTTTTTGAAACAAATTCAATCACCATCAATGGTAAGTAGGAATGGTGAGTAGGCAAGTCTTGTCCTTTAAATATAATGAATAAAAATGGAAAGATAACTCTCCATAACAAATGCTTAATTATTCCCCTTAAAATGGGCAAATATGAGAGATTTTATACCAATCTAGGTTATTAGTTTGATAGCCTAGTGAGTTAGTGCCTCCTGTATATTTTGGAATGCCATTTACTAATCTAGGCTGTGTTTGGCGTGGCTTTTGGAGGCTTCAAAATGGGCTTTTAAGTCCAGGAAGGAATTCACAAAAAAATTGAGTGTTTGGTAATTATTTTTAAACGGGCTTCCTTATAAAGCCTAACTCTTCAAAAGTCCATTCTACCGAAGCAACAAAATGAGGCTTCTCAAATTCACTTCTCGGGAAGCAAGGATGGTTTTAAGTGATAAATATTGTTGTTACAATTTTGACCTTATAAATTATAATTTTTTTTTTCCAAATTAACCTTCGTTCTCAATTTTATTACGAGAGGAATCGATGTCTGCTAGGGGAGATGAAGAACTAACAGGAAAAAGAAAATTCGCATGAAGCGTACTTTCTCGCTGGAGTTCCGCATAGTTACTCAGCCCACAAGTGTTTGGATTTCTACTGGAGAATATTATTTGGGATTTTGAAGACGAATTTGAGTCTTGCTACACTCCTAATCATAGTATTTGTCATCAAATTCTCCTAATTTGCCACTGCCCTAGAATCCATTATTGAATCATCGTTTTTGTAAGTTCACCTCTATCAATCTCTAGAATTTCTTTGACCAATGAAGAGTTTTGGTATGTTTCGTCTCCTATGGAAAGTTTTAAAATTCCTATGAATACGCGGAAAAAAAATTCCTATGGAATACGCGAGCAAAAAAAATTCCTACAAAAAATTTCGTATGGAGGCAAAAAAAATCCGCGGGCAAAAAAAATTCATACAAAAAAATTTCGTTTGGAAAAAGCGGGCAAAAAAATTTCCGAGAGAAAATTTAGGACTAACATTCCTATCAACAAAATTTGTTATTCTCTAAATACTACTGCTATATATATTATCTTTCTCCCTTTCAATCTTTAGTAGCTCTTTCAATTTTTGCAAATTCTCTGCACGATTCATAAGTTGCAAAACTCGAACTCAGGTTAGACATGATTTTTTAAGTGCATCATAGAACAATTCATTTCTTCTGCAAAATCATTCTCATTGTTGTTGAATATGTTATTTTCCTTTTATATTCGAGACATGAACTTTTCGGTCAATTTGATGTTGTGAAGGTGTATTATCACATATTATCTCCTCTTTCTTGCTAGTTATCATCATTGGATTTTTGTCAAGGTGTTTATATATTGATCTATAGCACTAGTTTTTCTAATTTCAAAGTTGTAGAATTTGGTACATGTCTCTATTTATCAAAATAATAATAATAATAATAATTGATATGTGTCTCTGTTTTTGTAATTTGTTGCAATTTGACTAATTTGTCAAACTTGATAGTGTGTCCGAAAAAGAAAAAAAAAACTTGACAGTGTGAAAAACTTTATTTATTTTTTTGATAGATGCTGATGCACTGTTTTCTTTCTTTGTGGTTTTTGATGCCTTGTGAGTTCACTTCCTCTATGGGTAAGTGTCTTGCGAGGGTCGTGAGACCTGGTTTTGGTTCAATCTCTTTGTGATGTCATGGACAATTTGGGAATGCTATCACGTTGTGATCTACTTTCTTCTAGCTAAAGGATGGGATTCATTCTGTTCATTTTTTGTTGTTTTCTCTGTACTATGTCTTTTTTTTCCTAAATGGTTTTCTCTGTACTATGTCAATTTTTTGTTGTTTTCTCTGTACTCTGAAGTTGAGGTTATTTTAATTCTTTATAGATTATTAATTTTATGGTATGAAATGAGCTCTTATAATAAGGACATAGGAAATGGGGGCACCTTTAATTCTTTTCATTTTTATGTATTCATCTATGTATTTATGGATGTATCATGCATTACATGTTTGTAGCTTATTACTGTGCCTAACTTGCTCACAAACATGCATGTTGTACCATGCATTTTGATTGTCTAAGCTAATTTGTTATATTATGTTATAGATGGCAAATAATGAAACAGGTGGGTTATCAATGCAAAGTCGAAAGAGTGAAAAAAAGGGAAAAGCAATTTGGAATAATGAGTTGCATAGTATTTTTGTACAATTATGTTATGATCAAATGTTAAAGGGAAATAAAAAAGGGACTGTCCTTAGTAAGGAAGGATGGAATTATGTATTGCAAAACTTTCAAAGGAGAACTGGAAAAAAATATGACAAAAAACAAATGAAAAATCATTGTGATAGTACAAAGAGTGAATGGAAGATATGGTATAAGCTGAAAAGGGAAGAGACTGGGCTTGGATGGGATTATGAAAAAGATACAGTTGTGACTAGTGACGATTGGTGGGCTAATTACTTGCAGGTATATACCTTTTTTAATTTTTATTATATGAATATGCATGCACTATTTTGTAATTATATGTTATGATAAAAATTATTTTGTTAACAAGTCAATCCAGATGCAGCTAAGTTTCTTGAGAAAGGAATTGAACACTCTTACCAATTAACAGCTCTATTTAAAGATGGGATAGCAACAAGTAATTCGGCTTATGGACCTTCACAAGGAACTTTACCAGAAGATAATGCTGGACCTTGTCGAATTGAGCAAGATACACATGATACTCAAGAAGAGATGGGCGTAGATACTATATTTCATAATGAAGAAGAACATAGGGAATATGATAATGATCAAGAAACTGGTGGTGTTAGGGAGAATGATGGTACACGTAAAAAATCAGAGGATTTCATTCCGCCACCTGAGAAACGTCGAAAAGTGACTCCGGCAACTAATATGAATAACATGCTTGAGAGAATATGCAATGCAGTTGAATCAAGGGCAACAAATTCTAACCGTGCTGGCGGAAGTAGCACAATCAAGGAGTGCATAGATTTGTTGAACCAAATGACAGAAATACCAAAAGGAGGAGATCTTTACATGTTTGGTTGTGACACTTTGTTCTTACAAAAAGAACTACGAGAGTTATTTGTGGCACTCGGAGAGCATGAGTTACGCCTTAGTTGGCTTCAAAATCGACACATGGCTTCTAAGACATCCCATCCATAGTTTTTTATTTTTTTTAAAAAAATTATTATTAAGTTTCAAAATTACCATTATGCAATTTTTGTCATTAATATTTTTTTTATTTAGAAATTGATAGTTTTAAGATACTGGAGTGGTTATTTGAGGTTGTTTTTCTTATTTATTAATGGAAATGCTTTATTTTAGACTTTCTAAATGTGTGATGCATGTTCTTATATATTATTTGTTATTTATAATTTGTTTATTGTATAGATTTTGATGAAGGACGTTCATTGTGACAGTTAAGCATGGATTCAGACAACAATTTTCAATCTGATGACGAATTTGATGAAATGGTGGTAGATGCATTGCTGGGTGTTGCAGTTTGTGTTTCAACTAATTACCACACCAACTATATTGTGAAAGAACCATGTAGAAATTCGAATTATACAGGGCATCAATTTGAAATGGAAGTATTAGCTGGACATCATAAGCGTTGTCATGAGTTATTTCGCATGGAAAAGCATGTATTTTTACGGCTTTGTCAAGAGCTCAAACGAAAGGATCTATTAAAAGATAGTCGTGAAATTTCTGTGGAGGAGCAAATGGCCATATTTCTTATGACAATTGGCCATAATGAAAGAAATAGGATGCTACAAGAACAATTTCAACACTCTGGTGAGACTATTAGTAGGCATTTTAATACAGTTCTGAAAGCCCTAGTAACATTCTCAATATCAATTATTGTGCCTCCTTCGTTTGATGATATCCCTATTCATATGCGCAACAATCCTAAATATTGGTCTCATTTTAAGGTAATTTATGTACTTCTTTCATAATTGATTATATTATTATATTTTATCATTATTTCATTGTTAACTTCATAACAATCTTTTTTGTAGGGTTGCACTGGTGCAATCGATGGAACGCATATTGATGCAGTGATTCCAGTCGATCAACAACTTGCATATCGTGGACGTGAAGGAGATTGCACACAAAATGTGATGGCTGCTTGCTCATTTGATATGAAATTCACATTTGTTTGGGTTGGATGGGAGGGATCGGCTCATGATTCTCGTATACTTAACGAAGCTCTTGGTAGGCCAAATTTTAACTTTCCCAAGCCTCCAAATGGCTCGTACAATAATTTTTTTTTTATTTTTTCTTTTATTTTTTTATTTTTTATGTAACTTTTTTTTTTATATATTTTTCTTTTTCTTTTTGTAGGTAAATATTATGTTGTTGATGCTGGGTATGCTAACATGCTAGGATATTTAGCACCATATAAAGGAGTACGTTATCATTTACAAGAATTTCAAAGAAATCGCCAACCAAGAGGAGTTAGAGAACTGTTTAATTATGCTCACTCATCTATTAGAAATATAATTGAACGTTGTTTTAGAGTTTGGAAGGCTCGGTGGGCAATTTTAAAACATATGGCTCATTTTCCATTCCCAACACAAAGGTTAATTGTGATTGTATCAATGGCATTACACAATTATATACGACAAGAAGCAATAGCGGATGCCGAATTTCGATGATATGATGATGATGAAGGTTATGCCAGTGACAACGATGATATGTACACGCGTGCTACTTTATCGGAATCTAGTGGAACGGTGGACCAACAACAAGAGATGAGCATTATATGTCTTAGGATTGCTAATTCAATATTGCAATCAACTAGATAAATTGTTCCTTAGTCTATTTATGTCTTAGGATTGATTCTAAAATTTTAATTTATTTATTTTGAATAATTATTGTTTACTTGAAATTAGTATTTAAATTATTGATCATGTTTACTTTTTATATAAATGGAAATTTATTGTCTTCTTTAAATAATATTTAACATATCGATTATCCATTTTTAGTGGTAGAAGTGTTCTATCTAATTGTTCATTATAATTTTATGTTAATTACAATTATTATTATTATTATTTTTTTGAATTACTAATCTGTTGTTGATATGATTCAATATTTGTGTCAAATAGAATGTAAGGATATTATTGTAAATTTGTAGTTATTTAATAGTAGAAGGACTTCGGTGACTTTGCAACCAAACACATATCGTGTGAGTAAAATCACTTTTGTACATAAAAGAAATTTTCAGAAGTAAGGTTTACCAAACGCCTTTTTTATTTCTAAATTCCTTCCTATAAGTGATTCTTGAAAGCCCGTTATAGTGAAAGGACTTTTCACAACAGGAAGCTCATCCAAACACAGCCCTAATTTTTAACTATTCTTGTCTTGTAAAAAAAAAAAATTTATAAATTCGTAAAAATGGAAAAATAACCTCCATAACATATGCTTATTTATTCCCCTTAAAATGGGTAAATATGTGAGATTTTATAACAATGTTATTAGTTTTATAAAATCCTGTTCAGATTTAGAAATTTATAATATCCTCAAAATAAGGATAACATAATAAATTAAAAAATTAGTAATAAAAAAGGATAGCATTTTTTTTTTTCCAAAAAAGAGAGAGGATAACATAGATATATTTAGTTGTGAAAAGGTATGCATTCGTAATTACCGCAAGACGACAACTTCTTTAAAGAGCGTTAAAGAGCGTTACTTTCGTTTTCTTGGAGTTTGTTGGGAGAAAACGAAACCTAGAGAGAGAGTCTTCGTCACTCCGCTAGGATTGCGCAAAAGCTTTTCAATTGTTTTAATTCGACTGTTTTGCAGCTATTTGTGTAAGGATCGTCATCGAAACGTAGGGTTTCGTTGAATTTACGTCTATCTTATTTCTGTATTGGATGCAATTGAAGAACACTAATTACATTCTTCGATTGTACCCGATGAATTGGCGTTAGTGTATCATTGAAGTCTAATCTTGATTTGAGGTGGTTGGTGGGTTCTTGGAGTTTTGGTTGGTTTATAGTTTGATTCCATGGTATTTGAATCGCTAGGGTTGGAAGGTATTGGTTATTTTTGTGAATATTTGGCGTTGAGATCTTAGGGTTTGTTGTTTTAGTCCATTCTTGATTTTGAGTCGATTTGTGGGTTTATACGTTCGTCGGTTTCAATGGCTTTAGGCTTGATTCATAGGTTTATGAGAGGGTAGGAATTGTGTTTTTGTTGATTTAACCCCACAGTTATGGCGTTTAGTTTTCATTTTCAGTCCCGATCCTATTTGAATTTGATGGCGGGGTTATAGTATTCTCTGCAATTTTCAATCTTATTCCAAATTTGAGGTTTTTTTGAAGGTTGTTGAATAAGGGTAGTTGGTAGCTTTAATAATTTAGTTTGATATTGTTGAGATTGTATTGGAGGCATGTACATTGAGGTCCTGGAGGAGGAGGGGGAGTGTGAAAGAGGGGAGGAGCAATTGTCTGTTGATCTTTCTCTGGAGGAGGGGGAGGAGCAATTGTCTGTTGATCTTTCTCATGGTGCCATTGTTTTGGATGTGAAAAGGGTTTTGGTTGGAGCAGGGGCTCGTGCTCTTTTCTATCCAACACTGATGTATAATGTTATGAGGAACAAGATTCAATCCGAGTTCCGCTGGTGGGATAGGGTTGATGAGGTATATCTACACATTGAACTTCTATTTCATTGTTTTTGCTATTCTCCATATATTATACATTATGTGTTCGTACTTTGCTAATGTAGTTTTACTTTCATTGCACTTAATAATAAAAGGTCATTGACAAGAGACTGTGACAAACTACCAAGAGGTACGAGTTCCACTCAGGCTCTGGGTTTGCCTGATACATGGAGAGTGGGGATCCCTCCATGTATTTTATGGTATCAGATGTGCTCTAGAAAGATTTGAGAACACCTCTCGTGACCAAAAAGAAGGAAAAAAAGAAATAAATAAATTTGAAGAAGTCTTATTTCATTTTGCTTCCTAAATCCGTTTCTTAGGCGATCTTATGTACAAAAAAATTGTTAATTTGTAGTGATTCAAAATAGATCATATTCTGTGTTCATTGCTAAAATGCATCTGGGAAGTCGGAATAAGATAGCACTCGTATTGGGGTGGGGGAGGTGGGTTGCACTAACGAAAGTTATCAACATTGCTGATTTTGGTAACAATGTGACCTTTTCATACATTCCATGTTTCCTATACACATAGTTGGACTTTCCATGTTTTTCCAATTTTAATGATATATGGATAATGTAATGCTTCTATCATAAAACCACTCCTGTGTTTCACGTTCTGCAATCCCTCAGTAATAGCTAAATCCATGCATGATCATTATACTAGACTTCATCTTTCGTTTCTTGAGAGGGTATTAGGATCATAGTAATTGAATCCTTCTTGAATTGGCAGAATCGGACCAGATTCCTTTCCAATGATTACTTTTGAAACAAATCATTTTTGGTCACCTTTAATAAATCATAATAATTCTCCTTATAATAGTTTGACTTCTTTTTTGTGTTTTTAAGCTCAAGAAATAGTGTTTTTGGTTTGATATGGACATACTAGTACATGAATGCAAACACGCTACTATTTATGTATTTTTTAAAATATATTTTCCCCCTTTTGAAAATGTCAGAAAATTTCTCACTTTACAGACCATTTACAGAGATTACAACAGCCAAATTTTTGGTCACTGCAGAACTTCTGGGAAAAAAGCGTTCCTTTTGAAAGATAGCTGATTTTTTTGTTTAAAATTTATTTTTATTATTATTATTTTTGTACAAATTTATCTCCAATCTATTTTTAGCTGTCAAATCTGAATTTGGCCAACTTCATTCTACTTTTACAATGAATTCAGAAAGCAAGATTTATATTCCAACAAAAATGAGGGAATTAGAGAAATGAAGCATAGGTAATCATAGATAATGTGACAGTTGTAATGTTGGAGAAAAAGGAAATGAAAGTAACTCATGGTGGAGTTATTCCTTATTGGTGGTGTGACTTCTGAAGTTTTGGACTTTTGGGTGTGAACAGTAACATTTTGTTGTTGTTGTTGTCGTCGACTGTTTTAAGTACTTTGTCGACTGTGTTGGTATGGAAAGCGATAGATTAGTTCTATCAGTTATAAATTTGCTTACACCGTGATCTCTAATGAGGCCCTTTGCCTCAGTGATTGTGAGTAGGGTTGCAGTCCAGACAAACTTCAATAGCAGTTAGACTGTGGTCTTGAAGAACATGATGTGTTGCTATCACCTCCTTTACAGTATCTTTCCGTGCAACACCACAAATTTACTATTCTAGCACTTAAGAAATAATGTAGCATTCAACAACACCTGCATTAAGCCACTCATAAGTAAAAAATTGTTATTATTATTATTTAATTTACTATTCTAGCACTTAAGAAATAATGTAGCATTCAACAACACCTACATTATGCCAGTCATAAGTAAACAATTGTTATTATTATTATTATTTTAAACACGACTACCTTTCCTAGATATGATGAGTAGAGTGGAGTAACATTATCTTTTTGTGAAACATCACAAATTTACTATTCTAGCACTTAAGAAATAATGTTGCATTCAAGAACGACTACATTATGCCACTCATAAGTAAATATTTGTTATTGTTATTATTATTATTTCATTATTTATTTATTATTACTTTTAAAACATGACTACTGTTCCTTGCAATGTTGAGTTGAGTGGAGTAACTTGAGTGCTTAGAGGTAAATGCATAAATTTCTCATATTGAGAATAATTAAGATAATCACGTTTACTGAAGTTAATAGTATTGCAGCTTACCTGTCTGTTTGTATTGCTGAGCTTTGCATTTTAATCTCCATGTTAATGGCTAATGGATCTGAATGTTTTGCTTACATTGCCACATTGTGAACCAACTATCGTTTTGTCATCTGTTGCATGCATTCATTTTCCTTTCCACTTTTAAATTACATTACTTGAGCTGTCTTCCGCTCAATGTGAGAGAGAATTGTTTCTTTGTTACAGTCAGCAGTTATGGCCTCAGTATTTTCAAAGAATATCCAAATGCACATACATACAGCATAAAGAGGATAAGAGCAGAGGATTGCTTGAGGGCTTAGAGCTTATGCCTTTAGTATTTACTTCAAGAATGTTATTAATTAAATTTTCTAAAGATGCTGAGGAACTATCTTTCAAATGCTCTTATCTTTGTAATGAGTAAATTGCCCATCTGATAGTTTATATTATTTCTTTCACTTCTTTTTGGTTGCTGCATGTCTGGCTCATGTAGAACACGGAAATATATAAGGCTTCACGACTTTCAATTAATTACGGTTAGTTTATTGGTTTTCAAATTTGTCTGTTATGTGCAACCTTGTAGTAGTCTAAATCTTGTATCAACTACCTAGTGTAGAGTGCAATCCTATCTCCCATGTATGATTAATGGATTGAGTGCAATTGTAGGCTAGTGAATCTGGTATGCACAAATTCTTACTAGTGTCAATCTTTTCTTAGCAATACTTGTTTTTGCATGTTCTTAGTGGCTGCATTATGAGATTGCGCTCATAGTTTGGAATTGTGGTTCTTGCATGTAGTATATGACATCCTTGAAATCGTGTGTTGTGTGCATGCATGGAATTCTTTTTTTTATTTTTTTGTTGACAAATTGACAATATTTTTTTAATGCTGTACTAACTTTTTCTATCACCAGTTCATATTATTAGGTGCTGTTCCATTTCCAACTGATGTTCCCCACCTGAAGGAACTTGGTGTCTGTGGAGTGGTTACTCTAAATGAATCATATGAGACTTTGGTCCCAGCATCACTCTATCATGTATGTATGTTCACTATTAATGTTCACATTTTCACATCAGTATCTTCTTTTAAAATCTTTATTAATTGTGGCATAATTTTTTAAAAGTAAATTAATGAGATAAATTATTAACGATATCACCTATACTATTGTGGTACTATGTGTAGTTGAGTCCTTCTGGAATTGTTGATAAACTTGAAGCTGGCTAACCAACCCTGCCCTGCTCAGCTAAACATGTCAAAAATTCTAAACTGAACCTCTGAAAGCATATAGTGGACCAACAGCTCTGCTGGGGAAGACCTAGAAAATGCTTGTCTTTTGTTCTTCTTTTTCTTTTTTGGGTCTGAATTACCAATCAAGAGTCACTTAAAAACTTCATTCTGAATGCACGTTAACCGTTTCTACTTGTTATTCTTTTTTGTCATTTTGTTTCTGTCAAAGTGTTAGTAAGTTGATGTCTTTACTTTCTGTTTGTCGTAGGCTCATGACATTGATAATTTGGTTATTCCAACGAGAGATTATCTTTTCGCTCCGTCATATGGTGATATTTGCCAGGCTGTGGACTTCATCCATGGTACGTATTCTTCATAGATGTCTAATCTCCTTTAGGACATGTTCTTGAAGTATTCTTGCACAAAATTAATTTAGTTACTCGAGTTGCCTCTAGACGTTCCTTTTTTCCTGATAGGTGGTTCTAATTGTTCCACCGAGCATGTACTTTCTTTACTGGTCTATTGCTGCGAAATTCACTTGTATTATTATTTATGATAAGTACGAAATTCACTTGTATTATGAATTTGGAAACATTCTTTTATTTGGTTATGTAATTATACCATTTAGGTTGCACAAGAACCATTAAGTGTTGCAGGTCATGTAATCTGACCGTTAGTATCTGTTGCAATTACAATCTGTTGCGTGTTGGATTGCAACAAGTCATGGTATGAATGTGCTCTGTCATCATCATGACAGAAAGGGCGAGTGTACTACTGAAGTTGCCCTTTTTTAGGTGGTGCAGCAGCGAGAAGGCCAGCTATTCCACTATGTTGTTAGGGCAATTGCCTAAGCTCACCTCATTATATTTTTCTTATTAGGAAACATTGTTGGTTTATAAACTCTCTTCAAGTAGTTGATGTGGGCCCAAATGTATTGATTTGAAGTATGCATTATTTAATGTTTAGATTACATTAAAATACCTTATAATCTAACAAGAGTTGAATGTTTTAAGTACTAATTCAATTACTTCTCTTTTCTTGTGCCTGTTAGACTTCTTTTCACTTATTATTTTTCCTTCTTCTTTTAAGCTTATAACTGGTTAATATGCATATTAAAAGGAAAATGATGTGATAAGGTGCTCTCCTGTGACTTCATACCCCATCCGGATTTTGGGCGCGAAGTCACGTGAGAGGGCCCTCATCATATTATTGCTCATATTAAAAAGCTTCCTAACTTTTGCCTTAAGGCCCTCAACCTGTATTAAGTGGCAGGATGTGGCTGGGGTAGATATTAGGTTGAGAACTTACGTATATGAGTAGAAAAGAATATTACTATAATTTCCACCTTCCTTCTTTTGAACGGTTGGAACGCACCTCTGTATTGGGACATTTTGCATGGACTTTTTAGCGTGAGAATAGAGTTCAAAGAAGTATTTTGGGCAAGCAGATCCCATCCTGGTTTCCCTCAATGGTCCACATTTTTTTTCACTCTTACTAAAAAAAATATTCATTTTAGATGAAAATGCTTTTGGAATATAATTTTTAAGTAATGGGAGTTATGTTCTCTCTTTTTTAATGGACAGTTCTTTCCCTACTTTTTTTTTTTTTTTTTCTCAGAAGTTTGATTATTGCTAACTTTTACTCTTTTTTCATTTATCTTTTTGGGTTGTGAAGAGAAGGCGTGTTCTAGTAAAACAACATATGTTCACTGCAAAGCTGGCCGGGGCCGTAGCACAACCATTGTTCTCTGCTACCTGGTATTCATTACGGCATAGAACCTTCAATCTAGTGATCAAAATTTTTTTTTTTCCAATTATTATTGTTATTATTATAACCTGCAAACAACCATTGCACCCATATCCACAACATGCCCCTAGTGGGGCTCGAACTCTCAACCTCCCCTTTGGGGAGGAGAGATCATACCATCCGGGCTAGAGACCTGGTGGTAATCTAGTGATCAAGTTACTTTATAGAAGATATTGCATGTGGTAACACTCTCCCTTGTATGATAGGTGGCGCACAAGGAGATGACGCCTGAGGCTGCGTTTGAGTATGTGAGGTCCATCAGACCAAGGGTGCTATTGGCCTCTGCCCAGTGGCAGGTATTCTTGATCTTTTCACCATATGCTTGTTTTTTTGTTTTATTTTGACACTCTTTGGAAGATGAAATATACAATAATCTTATTTTCCGGGATATACAGTATGTAGTTGTTGCCTACACACTATGTCATAAATTTATTATTATTATTTTCTGTTGAAACCTTGAACCTGAAGTGCTTATAGGCTTGTTTTTATAATGGATCTGTTTATAAGCATGGGGTGCAAATTCAACCATTATTCTCTGTTAAGAGAACATCAAATGGCATTTCTATGCAATCATACCTTCACATTTAGCATACATATTAACAAGGCCAGTACCTACAAACCTGTCCATAAAAAGTTTAGTCTTTCTAACTAAAACGTGTATTCTACAAAGTTAGTTTTTGCCATTCAATTCTATATCTTGATAGTAACCATTGCATCAAAATTTTCTCAAATTTCCTCATTATGGGTCAAGTTGTGTTGGGTACGTGTCCCGAAGGATTTAAGAAGTGTCTGACACTAGTCCAACAAGAAAATAGATCTTTCTCAAGTGTTCGACTTCTATATTGTTTCACAAGTAGACCTGTTCTATCATCATCATTTTGCCTTGATCTGATATGAATGAGGTCAGTCACATGAATTCTCCTTTTCTATTATTTTCTATTACAAGCCATCTCTCCTATTAAGATCATTCTAATAACTTCATCCCATATAGTTTTGGTTGATCCCTCCTTTTATTACTTTCTATGTAAATGAGTTTTCCTCTTCTTATGGGTGCATCTTTAGGTCTTTGTTTTATATGTTCATACCACCTAAGCCTATTCTCTTATTTTATCACTAATAGGCATCACTCCTAATTTCTTTTTTATCTCTTCGAGTCACTATCACACACTACAGGAAGTATAATTTTTTAGTCGCAAAAATTCCACAACCTAGTCTTTTCTTCTGAGTATATTAGATGGTTGTTAACAAGTTGTCATCATACTAATTTTTTCTTGTTTATTTTATTGTTTCCTTGAAAGATTTTTTTTTTGTCTATTTTAACTTTTATGATTAAAAAAAAAATAAATACATTTTAAATACCATTTCTTGTTTAGTCTTCTCTATATTAGACATGCGCGTGCACTCGCTCTCATTACTCTTGTCAATGAAGGAACCGATTTTGAACTAATTTGGGGTTTTAAGATGATATAGAAGTTGCTGATTGTTTGGGTGGTCAAATATTATAAACTGTTGCCATCAACTTTTGATAATGGTATAACATAATGGGGTAGTATGGTGCTAACCAGGTTCGTTAGTTATATCTTCCTTTAGAAGCATAATCATTGGGTCCAAAGAAGTCTTATAAGTGATTCCGTAGATGAAACTCCTTGGTATGGTTCGCTTTTGTCAGTCTGGAGACAACAAATGTTTTATGGTCATTTGGAAGTATCAACTAATGAAGGACATGTCATCTTGTTTGATTACGGGTCGAGAGCGAAGTCTCTCTGCTTCTTTATTCATGTTTCCTAATTGTAATCGGGCTCATTCCTCTTTGTGCTTTAGTAAATTGTTGGTTCTAGTACTGAAATATATACTCCTTGTGAGCTAACGCCCCCAAATTTGATGATCATGCAGGCTGTTCAAGACTACTATTTTCACAGGGTGAAAAAAACTAGAAGCAATATCTGTGTGGTGGACAATTTAGTGGAAAAAACCATAGGTTTCCCTGCAACGCATGAGCTGGCGGCTTTTGATGATGACTCTCTGGTGATGGTCACTGAATCAGACCTTGATGGATACGATGAGAGCCATGAATATGGTGTAATGGGTAATGTCATGTTAGCGGAACTGAGCTTTGCCAGTCAGGCTGCTATTGCCAGGCTTTCATGCCTTTGGTTACGTTGCCATGGGGAGAAGCTCAAAAACTCCATGTCTGTTGGCACTGATCAGTTGGGGAGCGATGTTGACATTCGGGTTTATTGAAGTGTTGGTGCTAGTCATTGGATATTAAGCTATATACAAATCTTAAGTACAGGGATACAGGCGCGTGATAAATAATGAAGGGTTCTTTTTAAAATCCGCTATTTTTTCTTCTTCTTTTTTGGGTTTGTTTTTTAACTAGCAGTAATTTGGGGACAATGGAGACCATGTTGTTCCGCGGTTCATGAGACAAGTACTCTGCACACCAGTTGAACTGTTGTCTTTCCAGGATCAAACAATGCTGGACAAAGAGAGAAGGAATGCCAATCTGTACAGAAAAGATGTATTATGTTTACTTGAAAAAAGTCTTACTGTGAAAACCAGTTTAATTTCTTATGAGAAGGAAAAGCAAGCTTGTATTTTTAAATGGATATATATATATATATATATATATATATATATATATATATATATGCTGCTGCTTCTCATTTATTTCCTCCAATTTTGGAAGAGTTAAAAGAAAGGTGTCAGGTAAGATTGGTGTGAAGAGTCGTTATGTGGTGCCATATGCTTGGGATTGACTGAATGCCTTCATTTTGGGTTTGGGGCAGTTTGTATCCCTCTTTGACCGACCCATATTTTGTTGCTTGCAAACTGAGGCATATCATCTGAAAGAATCCCAATTTCTGGGGAGATATGTTGGCAAATTTTCCTCAAATTTCAGAATTTGATTCCAACATCCCTCCAGAAATTACTTGGACAGGACAGATGGGTGGTATGTAACTAAAGTTACTAAACGTTCAGATTTCAATTTCTTTAAACATTTGAGGACTTGGGTTTTTAGTCATAAGAATAGAAGAAACTGAAATCAGTTGAAAAATGGAATGAAGCACTTTAATGAAAGTATAATGTGCACCAACTTAACTGATTGCCAACATGGTAAAACCCTTGGGTTAGGCTTTATTTAATAGTTTTAGTCAATGTTATATATATATATATTTCTCGTTAATATTTACACATTCTCCTCAAGAAATTATGGGCACATATATATATATTTCTCGTTAATATTTGCACATTCTCCTCAAGAAATTATGTGCATACTAACTTAGTCAGTGAACTATATTACTCGTAATTCAAAAGATAAAACAATAATTATCTCTCTCTTCATTTCCTTCCCATTTTGAGGAAGAAAGTAGAATCAATAAACGGAGGATTAAAATTCCTTCCCCTGTCTTTCTTTTTCCCATTTATTTTCCTTCCAAACCGTTAAGGCAATTCTAACCAAGAATTATGCAGAAACTGACACTCTCTTTATAGAAGAGGAAGGTTAGTGACATTTTTGTCTTTTTATACCACAAATGACAAAACTGAACTGAAGATAGAATAGTGTTTTTCTCTCTTTCCTCTGGTCGAAAGCTTGAGAAGATTTAGACGAAGCCATGCTGACGCTCTCAACACCTCTTCTACCCAGATCATCTTTTCCATGTAAGTCTTCTCTTTCTCTCTCTATTTCTACACACACTCAATTTTTCTGTTTTTCTATTGTTCTGTTACTCGGGAAAATGTTCTCCAGGAAAATCCCAATTTTATCTTATTTGTTACACAAATACTATAAGATTTTCTCATCCGATAAACCCTTTTTTTTATTTTAAATTTTGAATTTCCTTTGAAACAAGTAGAGCTGAGATTCGCGGCCTTGCCTTCTGTTCGCTAGCATTACGTGGATTTCTAACGCCGATAGTGTGCGTGCGTGTTTAGGTTTATATTTCTGAATGTATGCATATTGGATGTCCTGTAGTTCATTACTGCTGCAATCTTCGAATTTCTAAATTTTATCCTTCTGGCATGACGGATGCTCACAAATGAGAGAAAGAAGGCTTCTCACATTTGGGGATATCGGTTCACAGTGATTATGTTTATATATAAAAGCCATGAGATTATTAGTCCTAGCGTGTTGAATGGTGTTATGCCACAACCAGAGAAACGAAAATTTGTGTCATTTTTAAAATGATAATTCTTTGAAGGTTTAGGTCACACTAAATATTTATTATAACAATAGTTGTCAAATCGGGATCTGCATTGTGAATCAATACCCTACATTTATGAATCACAAGTTGCATCATATCTTCAATCTTATGAACACATTGACATTTCTGAAGATAGATAGCAAATTGTGGGGTATAAATGTTAGAAAAATAAAAGAAAACAGGAAAAGGTAATTTATATAATGTAGGATTTTGATGTAGTAGCATATGACCCTTTTTTTTTTTTTTTTTTTCTTCAATAAACTCACACACCCATTTGACCCTACGAGTATTTGAATCCTCACCTTCCACTTTGAGAGGTTAAGGAGATACCACTAGGCTACAACCCTTGGTTATGATCTTTTTAGTGATGTGACTCCTTCGTGGGTGAAGTGCTCACCATATTAAATACAGTCTTCGATTTAAAAGTTGCATAAATCTTGTCAACTGAAAATAACTAATATCAAAATAAGAACAGAGTTTTACATTCTTGCCATGTGAATCAGCCAATTTCATCAGATTAAGAGCCAAAGATGGCCACAGAAGAATTTTCAGATGTTTCAAATAGCTGATTCCCTCTTCTTTACGTATATTTTTCATTTACTTCTCTTAAAAATTAAAATTTAACCTTTCTAATTTTTGCTCCTCTTTTGTAGCATGCATCCATAGTTTCCTTTGCACTAGCAATTTCTTTGCTACAAAACAATCCACGCAATCAACATTAATTCCGTTTTAGTGATTCATTTTATTACGGAGTAGTTTTTAATTGGAAAAAACTTTCTGATGGCTTTTAAAACTTGATAACAGGAGGAAACTTTTATTTTTTTTGAATTTGGACTAACTCATGTTTTAGCCAGATGCAATGACCCAAAAATACATTATCACAATACGACCTCTTTAAATGCGTTCTACCATTACACCTTATCGTCATTGATACAATTACGACGATCCATTTGGGATCTTTACGTCACTTTCTTTTTTCGCTTATCAACAGTTCTTAAAAGGAAAAATACAATTAAAATAAAAAATTCAAAGAATACATAAAATACTGCCCTTAAAGATTAAAGCACCAAAAAATCCCCTCTAGATTCTGAAAAAGTTGATGTCAAATATAAAGGGTTAGTAGGAATATGTATAGATAAAGGGTTTTGATTGTAAGTTTGGTTGAGTGAAAAAATCTCAAATTCATCGTATTTGAAAAAGATTTTAGGGACTTCAGTGGCATGACAAAGAGGGAAGAGGGGAGAAGAATAATATATTGTACATTGAAACCCCTTAAAAAGGGCTTTTAGGAGCTTCTATTGGTGGAAAAGCATAGGGTAATTTTTTCTTTCCTTTTCCTTTTTTGGATTTTTTTTTTTTGGAGGGGGGAGTTGGTGTCAATCTACTGAATTGCATGGTTCTTTTCCAAATTGTGAATCATGTGTTTTACTCTGAATTCATATCAATTCCTTACAAAGTGGGATTCACAGAGCATTGGTATCCTGTATCTGAGAGGGGTCCAATCGTTTACAATTTGAATCGTGAATCATTAAGGTTTTGAGTCTGTTGTCAACTATTGTTATACCATTCCCAATTGGTAAAAGTCATACTCAAGCTCACAATAATGGATCAAGCTCTATGAACTGGTGTTAACTCTATTCCAATTTCCAAGATAACATATAGAGATATTTTACCTGGATTTATGATAAATTGCACATTCAGCGTGGTTCCTTTGGTAGCTGAGAAGGTACGAGAAAAGAATAATTAAATGGTTGTTAAACTAATTATGTTGGAATTGTAATTGTAAGCATAGTTGCCAGAACTCATGTACATTGAGGATCCTGCTTACTGTTTCTCCCACTTCTAATACTTAAAGAGGCACATTTGGAATTTGGCTGCTTCCATATTACCATATGAGAAGAAAAAAAAATGTTCCGGTTATAATATCTAAATTTTATATTCCCTATTCCATTGTGTTCGACAAAGATCCATATAAATTCCGAGTCAATCTTTAAGGTAAGTTACCCCTTATAATATTTTCAGTTAACTTATAATATTTACCATGTTTTTTAAGTCAATAGTTCCTACTTGTGCCTCTTGTTCCATCTCCCGTTCCTACTCTTAAACTGGTAAGTAATGACTAGTAACTATGGTCATGATGTTCTTCATCTGTTCTTGCAATTTTACATATCCATTTACATTCATGCAGACAAAACCCTTTGGGTTTCTCCCACACTTGGAGTATTTGTTGCTCAGAAGAAGCTTTTCCCGTCTTGCTGCTCAAGTTGCAACTTGAAAGATGATAGGTAGGACTTATATGTTTGTTGGCAGGATTTAATCAGTTTTCTATTTCCTTCATTTACCTTTTAGTTTTAATTGCTTATTACAAATGCTTTATGTATTGGTAGAGAACAGAATGGATATAAACTGCATTATAAGGAGAATTTGAGGCGGAGACTTCTATTTGTTTTGGTCTCATCAAGCTTGATTCCTACTTTGCCTTCTCCTGCAAAGACAAAAAGCAAGAACCCATATGATGAAAAACGCTTACTAGAACAAAACAGGCGGAGACAGAGAGAAAATAATGTGCCTGATGACTTCCCAAACTTTGTTAGAGAAGGTTTGTTCTAGCCTTGTTGCAACTGCTGTAATGGTTACCTCTTAGTTCTCCATCCCTCTCATATTTGTTGCAATTATCTGTTATGAACTTTCTTCATAACTGGAATAAGCAATAACATTTGGGAGTTCAATTCAGGTTTTGAGGTCAAAGTAGTGACATCAGAAAACTACGTAAAGCGTGACTCTGGGCTTATATACTGGGATATTGAAGTTGGTAAAGGTGATTGCCCAAAGGATGGTCAACAGGTTTTTATTATTATTTTTTTCTATGAAGGCTTTGATTCCCTCTCCCCCCCCCCCCCCCCCTCTTTCTAAAATTTAGCATGCTTCTTGATGTTTCAGTGACATCTAAACATTTGGGGACGAATATTGGATTTGAAATGTTGAATTTCTTTCTTTTGCAAAATGTTAGACATGTTAGCATGTTGATATATATATAAGTAAATTAGCATGTTGATATTCTTTGTTGAGTTAGCTAGCATGTTGATAGCTTAAATTTTTTGTTGTTGTTTCCTCTCTCTCTTTTGGGATTGCAACCATGACAGTGATGTTGTATTCTTGATTTCCACTTAAAAAGAGAAGAAAATAAATGCTACTAGCAATAAGTTGTATTCATGAGTTCATGATGGAAAATACCACACCAACTTCCATTGAGGCCAAAACACAATGCAAGAAGTACTTTCCCATGCACTTCTGTTTTTTGAGGCTTACATACTGGGATACAAAGCTGGTAAAGTTGATTGCCTAAAGGCTGGTCAACAGGTGTTTATTTTGTTTTCTCCTTTTAATTTTTTCTGTAAAGGCTGGGATGTCCTTTCCTGATATTAACATGCTATTGATGTCTTGTGACATTTAAGCATTGGGAGATGCATACTGGAATGCATATTGGATTTGAGTTGTTGAAAATCTTTCTATTGCAAATTGTTTGACACTATCGTGTTGAAACCTTTAAAAAGACCTTTAAAAAGATCTCGTTTTGGGATGCCAATCATGAAATCAGTCACTGTTGCTGTGCATGACAGTGAAGTTGTACTTTTGATTTTCACAACAAATAAATATTGTATTCATGGATTCCTGAAAGAAAACACCACGTAACTTTCACTTGGGCCAAAAAACAATGTGAAAAATAACTACTTCATGAGCCTTTGTTTAATTGCCAACATCCCTTGAAAAGAATTTCCCTGCTGTATTTTTCTTTTAGAAGGTTTCTTTTGCAGTTCTACTACTGATTTATTGGTAAAACTATCCATAAATTGGCCATTTTTTAATGGTGTTAATGGACACAAATTGTTCACATGATCGTTTTTATTGTCATGGTGATATCCATCTGTAGAAGACCATTTAGCTATTGTGCCACCCAAATCACCTTGTTTTCTAACAAATGGATACATCAGAAAATACTTTAGAAGCAATATATGAATTCTACTCAATATTTATTGGCAAGGATCCAAAAAAGTTTTTTAAAAACGTACTTGGGATTTGTTGTAGAGTGATTTGGTTGCTTTAATGGCTCCTGGACCAGTAATAGTGCAATTCAGTTTGGTTGTCTTTTCCGTAATGTCCATAATGAAATTTGAACTTTTCTTGGATGAGCTGTTGTTTGCTTGTTCTACATTTTATGATGACCATGATTGGAGTGAGAATTTTATGTAATCTCCGAAGAGAAGTTAGTAGTAAATAATTGAAGTAATTATTCTTTAATTATTTTTCTGAACACAGCATATGGAATCTCTAGCACTTTAAACATGTAAAAAGAACTTCATATTATCTTCATCACTACAATTACTACTGCCAGTTTACCTGACCAAGCTAATGTGTCAAGCTTGAATATCTAAGCACAATTAGCGAAGTGTTTCTCTTTTTATTATATAAAAGACGCTTATATTTACATCCACGCTTAACTCCTGGAACTGACTGCAATGCTATAATCTTAGAAGGTTCATAATGTGAGTGAATGTAAACTTTCTAGTATCAGGTTTTTCTTTAAGACAACAGTTTACTTTAGGTTTGTGGATTCTGTCTCAATTATTTGATTTTTTACATATCTGATTCTCAAGTATAACCAAGAATGAGAGGGTGGGGAAAACCAGACGTGAATTCTGTGTGAAATTTTTTTATAGATCTGAAGTCCTGGTTTCGCTGTATCACTTCCATTGGTTTTCTTTATGCATGTAAATGACATTGAGTTGAGTTGCTTAATCTTCTCATATAAAATGAATTTTTAGTTGTATCACAAAATTACTTATGTTATTAGAAAAATGGCAAAATGCCAAAAACCCCACTTGACTTGAATTATTCCACATTTGCAAATAACTTCTGGAACTTCAAAAACTCGCCCAACTTACAAAAGATTTGCAAGTAACCCCCAATCTGTCATTTAACTATTAACATAGTAAAAAATATTACATAATTGCCCTATTTTGAGTTAAAGAATTCGTTTAAAATAAAAAAATTGTTCAAAATTAAGTTAGTACCATAAGATGTACTTTAGAATAATCCCCCAATTCGAGTTGCAAAAATGGATCCCTCCATATATTTTGTTTGAGTGTTAGTCTAAAGAAAAGAACACATTATTCAAAATATAACACTGTTATGGCATGTGAGGTGCACATGACTTCTCTTTCATCCATTTTCTAACGGAATAGATGTTAGGAGGTAATTTGCAGGTTTACAAAAGTTCAGGGGTTATTTGCAAATGTGAGAAGGTTTAGGTTTTTTATTATTATTATTTTCCCTTAAAAAATGATTTATTTAAATTTATTTTTGGAACAGTTTTCTATGCTTCTGAACAGATGAAGAGTATTGATATATAAAAAATTCTCTACAATCATAGTTTCATTGATCAATCTGTGCAGGTTACCTTTCACTATGTTGGTTATAATGAGTCAGGTCGTCGTATTGATAGCACCTACTTACAAGGCACTCCTGCAAAAATTAGATTGGGCAATAATGCATTGGTTCCAGGTGGCTTAATTATGTTAGGGATGAATTATTTTCCTTTTGTGGTTCCTTCATTAATGTAGAGAAATGTAGCTAAAAATGGAGGGAACTCATGCAGGATTTGAACAAGGAATTCAAGACATGAAACCTGGGGGAAAAAGAAGAATAATTATTCCTCCAGAACTTGGTCCGCCGGTGAGTTTAATGTACTTTTATGTGGTTATGTTTTTCTTCTTATCTGTAGCTTTGCCTACACTTTATTACTATTCCACATTTTTGTACTTGCCCTGTATTCCTAATTAGTTATGGCTAATTAGTTGCAGTTGGTATGTGTTGTATGGTACTGACATGTAATTTCATTCTTTTGGGCACAAATATTCCCTTTATATGGTTTTCGTCTTTTAGACAAGGACCCAGAATGAACTCGATAACACTGTCATAACCTCTGCTCCACTATTCCCTTGAAGACATGATTTTAATAGACTATGATTTCGTTTGACATTTCTTCCTTGGTGATAGATATTCCACTGAATTAAGCAAATATATATGTGGAGATATCATTTCCTCTCAAAAAATCTGGCTTTTCATTTTGATCATGACCTGTTTTGATTTTTGACATTTGAATACTTTTAACCTTCTTACAAAGACCCAAAAGGAAAAAGAAAAAGTGTTGAAGTACTGTATTGCAAATTTGTAAAATCTTGGCATTGTGGTTTTATCTTGGTTATAAGCAAGTCAATCCAAAACTGAAAAGCTCACTTGAGTCTAATTGACTTATTGTGAACATTTAACCCAATCATATTTTGATTATGCTTGTCTCTGTAGTATTTCAACCGAAGTCAGTCTTTTTGACCATGAATACCTGAGTTTGGATAGAATGCTAGTGTCTAGAATCCAGTTCAAGGACTAATAACATCAATGTGGAAAGTAGTGCCAAATGCTTCTAGTTACTCATTTGTCGTCCAAATCAAAGAATTTGACAGTATTATTGATCAAACTTGGCTGTAGTATAGACCACATTAGAGTTGTTACCAAGCCTAACACATTTAGTAGCATCACTAACTGTAGATCAAAATCAATCCACTTTCCTCGTTCGAGATGAAATGCATCACGATGTTATTGCTAAAACACAAACATTTTAAATTGGAGGATCACCAAATCTCTCTCTCCACACACACACCCGACACGCACACACATATACACAAGATTATTAAGTTCTCTGTCTCTCTTCCCGACACACACACTGACATGCACACACACAAACACAGTATTATTAAAGAAGTTTCTTGTGGTCTGCAGGTGGGACCTTCTACCTTCTTCAGCGCAAAACAGTTTGAAGTGTTTGACGTGGAGCTGCTCGACATTCAGAACTGTCAAAGGAGGACAATAGGTTTTTACTCTGATGTTATATGCAATTGAGTTACGAGACTTTCTTCAATGAAGCCATCAATATCTGCTAGTGTTAAAATGTACTGCGGCTAGAAACTATTTTTTCTGTACACAATTTAGCAAGTTTGAATCTTGTGCAAAGAAATGGGTTTTGAGAATGTAACTGGTGGAAATGAACTCCTGTGACAGAGCTCGAGAAAGAGAACAAGAACAACTCTTGTAATCTCCCTTACAGTTAAGATGAGGTTGCTTGGTACTTTAATACTACTTTGTTACTTGGGCTACTTTGTGTTGCAAATAGAAGAAGAAGGTTGGAGTCAATAAAAGGACAAGGCTTCCGACATGAGCAAATGGTGGATGTGTTATGACTTGTATGTTTGTTATCAATCCAATTCTGCAATTGATTGAGCATATGTATAATCTTATTTTGAAACCTTTTACATCTGGGATGACAACTTATCAATGTATTTCATTCAAGTTAAAGGTAGTTCTAATCAACAAAGTCATACAATGAGTGATACTACATTAAAAGAAGAAAAAAAATAAATAAATAAAAATACAATGAGTGATACTACTGTACATTAAAAGAGAGATGATATAAACTTTTGAGTGATACATTTATAAATGACAAACAAGCACATAACACACTATACTTGTCAACACTTTTAAGTCACATTATAAATCAAAGGTAGTAGTAACCTGGAAGCAACAAATACATATTAATTGTATCATAAAGTAAATGTATTTTTTTCCCCTTAAATAGCAAAAAAATAATAAAACTATATCTAAAAAGATAATATTCTTATTTATGAATGAAGTAGAAGTAATTGAGTAGTCTAGTGAAGAAAGGTTCCATAAACACCAAAATATGCGCGCGCGCACACAAAAAATATATATATAAAAAAAGAAGATGATTGTCAATTTGTCACTGTTTTATATATTCAATTAATACTATTTTATTGGTAAAGGATCTTCAATTATTACAATAATTTGAAAACTCAGAAGTCAGAATATATTGGAAGTTTTATAGAGAGAGTAAGCAGTCTGTCTCTCTCATAATATTTTTGGAATTCCTTGACATTAGAAGGAACACATCCAACAAAAGAACACTAGAGAGATAGAGAGAGATAGAGAGAGACTAGAGGGGTAGACAAGAGCCTTGGACTTTGTCTTTGCATTATCACCTATATGATACGTGACTGAATTCTTCTATCCGACCCTTTCTCAGCTTTATCTCTTTCTATCTATATCGTTAAAGCTCCATTCAAGCTTATTCAATGCAGTTCCGGAAGAGGTAATGGATTTTTTGCAATTCGGAAGAGTTATTATAGTTTTACCTAAAAACCCACAAGGCCTAAGCACGCAGGTTTGAGAAAATCAGTTACTTTGTTCACTGTAATGCATTTATGATTGGTGCTTTGCACATCGTTGGCTTTGATTTTTGTATATATTGAATCTTTCAATCCAAGTGGTATTTATACAGATTGGTATATGTTCAACAACTTCAGTATTAAGTTGCAAAATTAGGGTTTTTGAGGTTAGGGCATCCGTTTCCGGGTCTGATGTATTCCTTGACTGGTTTGGGAATTGGGTTATTGAGATTGAATGGTAATGGGTTGTGGTCTGGCTCTGTTCTATCACTGGTTTACAGATTTTAGTCTTGAGGTTTGAAGGTGTTTGTTTTATGGTTCTCGGTGTCCCATTAGTGGTCTGAATTCTTTTTGATCTTTTTGGTTAAAGGGTATTGGTTATTGGGTTTTGCGTGTCTTCCTTTGCTAGTTAAAATTTATGGGGTTTTGAAGTGGTTCATGATTTTTATCTGTTCCTTTACTGGTGTTTCTGGATTTGGGTCTTTGAGGTGTTAAGAGTGCTGGTTCCTATTCTGATTACTGCTTTTAAAAATCTGGGTTCTGTGTCTGGGCGTGTGTGATTGACTGTGATATGAGTAGGAGGGTGCGCAGAAAGGTGGCAAGGAGGGGTAAGGAGGCTGTGGTTTTTCCGAGTTACCCTGAAATTGTGGATGAGGGATTGAGTTTGGATCAGAAAAGGGTAGTGGATTGGATTGGATTGCCTGATGATACTGTTATTCAGCTGTTTTCATGTCTGAATTATCGTGACCGAGCTAGCTTGTCATCAACATGTCGGACGTGGAGGACTCTGGGTGCTTCTATGTGCCTTTGGCACTCATTGGATCTTCGTGCCCACAAGTGTGATGCTACCACTGCTACTTTGCTTGCTTCTCGATGTATGAATCTTCAGAAGCTTCGACTTCGTGGTGCAGAATCTGCTGATGTGATAATAAATCTTCAAGCTAGGGGTTTGCGGGAAATTAGTGTTGACTACTGCAGAAGACTTTCTGATGCTACTCTCTCTGTCATTGCGGCTCGACATGAGGCACTTGAGAGTCTCCAGCTTGGGCCAGATTTCTGTGAAAGGATTAGCAGCGATGCAATCAAAATGATCGCTATTTGCTGTCCCAAACTTCGGAAACTTCGGCTTTCAGGAATTCAGGAAGTTGATGGAGATGCCATTAATGCTTTGGCCAAGCATTGTCGGAATTTGACTGATATTGGATTCATAGACTGTCTTAATGTTGATGAGATGGCATTGGGAAATGTTGTATCAGTTCATTTCCTTTCTGTTGCGGGGACAACAAATATAAAGTGGGGTTTGGTTTCACAGAATTGGTGTAAGCTGCCGAACTTGACAGGGTTAGATGTTTCAAGAACTGATATTGTTCCAACTGCTGTTTTGCGACTGCTTTCATCCTCAAAAAGCTTGAAGGTCTTATGTGCCATGAATTGCCCAGCTCTCGAGGAAGATGCTAGCTTTGCCGCCAATAATTATAAAGGTAAATTGTTATTTGCTCTTTTTAGTGACATTTTTAAAGGAATAGCTTCTTTATTTGCCGATATTACAATGAGAGAGAGGAATGTATTATTGGATTGGAGGAATTTGAAGAACAAAGATAAGAACTTGGATGAGACAATGACTTGGCTTGAATGGATACTCTCCCATTCACTTCTACGGATTGCCGAGTGCAATCCACAAGGTTTGGACAATTTCTGGGTTAGCCAAGGCGCAGCACTGTTGCTCAGTCTAATGCAGAGTTCGCAAGAGGATGTTCAAGAAAGGGCAGCCACTGGACTTGCAACTTTTGTTGTCATTGATGATGAAAATGCCAGCATTGATGGTGGAAGGGCTGAAGCAGTTATGAAGAATGGTGGTATACACCTTCTCTTAAGCATAGCAAGATCTTGGCAGGAGGGCCTTCAGTCAGAAGCAGCAAAGGTAAGAATAAAAAGGAAGTATAATGATAATAATCCTAAACTTGTTATCATGCAATCTGGTTATTTATTTTAAATAAAGTTGATCCAACTCTAATCTATATGAGTTGTTTAGTTACACTTCGACAAGACTGCACCTCAAGCAAACATTATTATCATCTAACTATTTCTTTCCTTATATTACCAGTTTAACATCATGTTTAAGCATTTACACATGTGTTGGCATAAATGTTATTAGCTTGTAATTTTTTGGGATGTGCAGGCTATAGCAAATCTCTCTGTGAACCCCAGTGTTGCAAAAGCTGTTGCAGAAGAAGGTGGGATCAATATTCTTGCAAATTTGGCAAAGTCTATGAACAGGTTGGTTGCTGAAGAGGCTGCAGGAGGACTATGGAATCTATCTGTGGGAGAAGAGCACAAGGTTGTTTATTCTGCAGTTCTTTTATATTCATATGCTCTGATTTTCAGATTGTGATAAACCAGAATTTCTTTTTCAGGGTGCCATTGCTGAAGCTGGTGGTGTAAAAGCTTTAGTTGGTCTTATTTTTAAATGGTCTGTTGGTGGTGATGGAGTCCTGGTACGCACTTCTCATATCATGCATACTCATTTGTGTGCACACATGCAATTTCCCTACAATGCCTTCTATTTCATGCATAATTTCTTTATCTTCTTAAAATTTTGACGTACAATCCGAGTCACAGTTGTTTGGTAGGTAAGTTGTGGGTTGATTTTCTGTTTACTTGTTTTCAGGAACGGGCAGCTGGTGCACTGGCAAATTTGGCTGCTGATGACAAGTGTAGCATCGAAATTGCTATGGTAGGTGGTGTACATGCTTTGGTGATGCTCGCTCGTAATTGCAAGTTTGAGGGAGTGCTAGAGCAGGTAGCACCGAATCTTTTTATATGCTATCTGTAAGCTCTATTTTTTTTTGTATAGTAGGCATGGTCTAAGAATAAAAAAGATTGGATATCAACTGAAAGCCCAGTATACATGTATAGCTAGTGTGTAGGAGCTTGGAGGTCAGATCATGTGGACCGTTTGAAATCAGATAGGAGGGAAATTTCTTGATTTTTTTTTTAGGTTAATATATATTCTTCAGTCTGATGGTTCGAACTCATCTGATTGTTTGTTATTATTATTATTACTTTGCAATGACACCTCCATCATGGAGATTCATATTGTGTGATAGTGTGAGTTCCTTTGTACTAAAAGGTGGCAATGCATATTATTATGATAATACAGAACCTGATAAAAAGAAACCCTGCTTCATAAAATTCACGGGGTTTGATTTTTACATGCAAGTTGTTTCCTCGTTACAATAGGTTGCATTTATAGTATGCAATACAATTAAATTCTGCTCAGATGTCACAATGTATTACTTTAACAATATTATACTATGATTTCTGCTACACTTGTTTTCTCTGACGCCATTCAAAACTCCTTGTTTTGGCATTTGGATAATCTTTTACCTTCAATATACTTCTTTTCATATTTATCCCTCAAATATGCATAAATTTGAAGTTCAATGTTTCCTAGATTTTGTAATGTTAATCTTTTTGCATCTTTCAATTGGTTTATGTTACACTCAAGTTAATTTCTTTGTTTTGAAGTTGAATTGCATATGAAATTGTCGCATTTGTAGCATATATTTTGTGTCCATTGATGTTTTTATCAATATACCTTTTTGTCCAGGCTGCTCGTGCCTTAGCTAATTTGGCTGCCCATGGAGATAGCAATAGTAACAATGCTGCTGTTGGACAAGAGGAGGGTGCTCTTGAAGCACTTGTTCAACTTACCCGTTCTTCCCATGATGGTGTCAGGTAGTTTAATATTAATCTGGGATTTTGATGACATATTTCAGCTGCTCATTGGTTCACTTGGATGCATTCATTTGTGAATTCTATTTTGGAGACATGCTTCTCATAAAGCCTGTAATGGCTGATATGGCTGGTGCCCTTTCAAAAATAATGGAGAGTGCTACAATGGTAATTGTTTTGCTCTATAATGAAAAGAGATGGGTGATGAGCCATATTAGTTTTTATAGAGCTTGAATTCAAGCCTTTTGTTTGTACATGGCCTAACCATTTTTCGGTAGCATCTTTGTTCATGCTATTTTTGTCGTTTTTTTGGATTTGATCTTTTGATAATAGATAGGCAAGTCCTTAGCAGAACACGACCACCACAAGAATATGAATTAACCAAAAAACAAAGATATCAGGACAAGAAAAATATTGCTCTGGCTATATATGTAGTTTGAATGAAGTTCTTAATTGTTCTTACATTCTCTTTTGAAAGAATGTCCTATCTTAGGAAGAATTTTCCTGGTCAACTTTTTTCCTTATATAATTTCTTAGTAGTTTCCTAACGGATTCTTATGTTTTGTTTTGTTGCCTTGTTATACCCAGCTCACTCCTTTCCAGCACCCCTGTATCGACGGGACCAACACTTGCATAATTAATGCCACAGATGTCAAGTTTAAGTTATAGTGGCTGAAAATCATTCCATTGGAAACAGGGACGGACCCAGAAATATAAGTGGCCCAAGTGGGGAGGCAATTGTTATTTTTTTTAAAGTTTCAGTGGGGGCAATAGTGTGCTTTATAGGTATATATATCAAAATCCTAAAAATATTAGGGTATGATAATAATTATAAAAAAAAATCAGTGGGGGCAATTGCCCCCACTGGGCATACAATAAATCCTTCCCTGATTGGAAATCTTATCTACGTTCTGCCACATTCTGTATTAGTATGTCTATAAGCTGTCTTTTACTGAAAATTCCAGGTGGAACTTACCTCTCTGTTCTGTAAGCTATAGGAGAAGCACATTCATCATTGTAGTTGTTACTGTTATAAGCAATGTGGAATTATGTCTCTTTTCTAGTAAAGAATATTAGTAGTAGCCAATAAAGCCCTTGATTTATTCATATTCTCCACCGTTTGGCATCTTTAAGGAAACATATCCACTTTATCTGCGCTGGTACAATTTGTGGGCAACATCTTGTTCTTTTTACTCTCAAGGTTACCTTCTGACGCTCTCATCCAAATTTAGGGTAAAAAAATTGATCCTATTTTTAAAGATCTTATCTTTGTACTTTAATTTTCAATTATGTCTATTAAAATGACTCAATATCAGCTATATTTTCGGTTAATGTGATGGCAAGTTGCATATGCGGGAACTCTATAGACTATCTATTGCAAGCCAGATAATTATTCCCTTATTATTTTTAAATGGATCTTACCTTTCTGCTTTTTTCTCAAATAGGCAAGAAGCTGCGGGTGCATTGTGGAATCTATCATTTGATGACAGAAATCGAGAAGCAATTGCAGCAGTTGGTGGTGTTGAAGCCCTGGTATGTTGTTCTTCTAGAGTTCAAACTTCTATTTACTATATTCTGAGATAGTCACTAATTACCAAGTTTATTGGTTCAAGAAGTATATTTGGTATGCGGTAGCATAAATTTATTTTCCTCGAAGCGAACAAGATAACCACCCTCATTACCCTCCCTACAGTAAAAACAATTTTACTGACAACAAAAAGTTGACTAATCTTTGATGATAGTACCATCTTCTGTTCTATTACTACATATACAGAATGAGATTTCACGATGGAGGTGAAGGTGATTAGAAGAATTCTCTTCAGCCTTTTTGCATATGTAGCACCAGTGTGGAATCATTTTAACCTTTTACACTAGATTATCCATAATCAAGATTGCATCCCATGCAATAGTTTACACGGAAAAGAAAACATGGGAGGCACTTTAAAGGTGCATCTCTACATGGAACTCAAGCCTATCTCTTCCACATGCAGCAAACTACCCAAGAACTCTCCCTTGATCCTACATCAAGCATCCTCTATCTTCATAAAGGGACTATAGAGAACTTTAAAGAATGCAACCACCAAATATATAGCTCCCAATCCCAAACAGGCTTGAAAAATTGAGGTTACTGCACCACCATATGAGCAAGTAACCTCTTTAGATGTCCACTCACTATTTGATTCTCAAAAATTCCCTCAGTCATCTTCCTCCACATGTAATTATTTAGATTCCACAGGGCAGCTCTACAGCCACTCACCAACAGGGCTTGATTGAATACTCTTAAAAGTGTAGCCCCAAGACTCCCTGCTCCAAAATATAGCATGCTCTGTCAAGCCACAAGATGGTATTTTGAACTCCTATCCTCATGAGAATCCCCTCTGAAGTCATTTCAACTTCTCAGCTACCAGTGCCTGAATGTTGAATATAGACATGAAGCACATAGTTACGCTAGAAAGAGTACTCTTGATAAGAGTTACTTTGTCACCTTTCAGGTTCTATCTTTTCCACGATGCCAATCATCTCTCAAACCTCTCTATCACATGGTCCAAAGTTTTTTTTTTCTTTCCAATTATGACATTTCTTGCTGAGTGTGTGCACGTATAAGTTGCAGCAGTAGTACTTTGATTTTCTATATAGAATATTCTTTGTATGAAGTTTAAATGATCACAACTACCAAGTTATTACTGTATGTTGAAACTTTAATGTTAATTTTATAGGTTGCTCTTGCAAATTCCTGTTCAAATGCCTCTCCAGGTCTTCAGGAGAGGGCTGCTGGTGCTCTATGGGGATTGTCAGTGTCAGAAGCTAATAGGTAAGTGCAAAAGTTTAATAATGGCAATGATACACTTTATTATTCCATGTCATGCATTAAATGATTATTATTAGTCATAGTAAATTTGAAATTATCCATTCCAGTTCCCTCGGTCTATTCACACTTCACCAAAACAGCAAGATTGTGTGGTGATATTTCTTAATGCAACAAATACAATTGAGTAGCTCTAGGTTCTTTAGAAAATTTAAAAAATAATGATGATCTTGGGCCAAGGCTCATAATGATATCTGGTTTTGTGGAAGATGATGTTTTCATTGATTACAAGAAGCTGCCTTTGCACCTCATTTCCTTCCCCATCTGAACTTTAGTATCATCCCGTGTATTTGGTAAAAAGTTCTACACTAAACCTGGGCAGCTCTTCCTTAGCTGATAGGAATTCTGGTTTTTCCAGACAGCTCCGCTGTGAGAAAAAGAAAGTAGTAGTAGTGGGAATACAAGTAGTAAAATAGTAAAAACAATTATTAGAATGGCAATCCTAATCATAGCAATGACAATGACGATTTTGGCAGTATACATATCTCATCCTATTTTGGCTTATATTTGGGTTGGGTTTTCTTGACTGGTGGTGTTAATCATTTATGTCCTTGTGCAATACGTATATATACATATACGTATATGTCCTTGTGCAATACGTATATATACATATACGTATATGTCCTTGTGCAATACGTATATATACATATATGCACATGCACATGCACATGCACATGCCTACATACACTTATAGCTTTATATACTGGGTTCATGTCTTTTTCCCCTCAAGAATTGCCTTTTCTTAATGGATTCATTAATGTCGTTCTTATATCCCATCTCCTTGTCCATGCAACATCATATGGTATATACAAAGCTTTGGCAGTAATGAGGTCAAATGCAGATACATAATGTGTTATAAGGGTTTGATATCTATTAATGAGTTTATTCCCTAATAGTTTAAGTTTTTAGGGAATCTGATTATCTAAAATGGTATTAGAGTGATAAAGTCTTGAATCTTGGAGGTCTTGGATTCAGGTCTTCTTATTTGTATATGTTTACTAGTGTAGTCTCTTGTGCAAGTTTGCTCACTGTTTGCTTACCTTTCCATGCATGATACAGAGTTTCATGTGAAGGAGTGTGTGAGGACAATTGCTGGGCTCATTCCTTAATAGCTTCAGTTTTCGGGGCAATTAGTTGTCTAACAGTACTGTTTAGTCACCATTGGATTGACCATTTCTTGTGAATATCAGTTTCTAAAAATCAGTTGATGTAACGTGAACCACTCCATTTTGTTGTATAAGCATAAATGCAAGTGTTTTCGTAACTGTAAATCTATGGTAATCTTATATTAAGAACCAAATCAATTTAATAATTTTTTTTTTTTTTTGACTGTAAATTATTGGTATTTTCTATTAATCACCTCTCCACTATTCTAGTTACTAGATGTGGGGCATGTGCTAGGACATTTGCAAAATAGTAGGATATATAACTAAACTAATAAAATCCAATCCGGTTAACTTGCGCTTAAATTCTGGTGCAAAACTCTTGTCATATTGATATTTGTTGTGATCAATTTCATTCTCATTGAGGAAGTGAATATTGTGAAGCGTAAGGAATTTTTTTATTTTTTTTTTTAATGCTTCGTTCAGTAGGAAAGAAAAAATTTGGATGGATGGGAGAGAAGAAGGGATGGATGAGACATCCCTAGAGAAGAGACAATGTACTTCCCTCTTTTTGTTCGGTTTGATGGAAGAGAAGAGAATAAACTCACAATTTATTGTGTTCAGAAAAAAAGGAAAGTTAAGAGTTATAAATTGTTTTTATCATAACACCCATCATTATCCATAGTGTGGTATTTATAGAGGATAGTATTGTAATTTAAAATTTGTGTAATTTAGGATAGTATTGTAATTCAAAACTTCCATAAGCGCACCACTTGTCTTCCCTCCTCTCTTCCGCCCGTATTTGGAGGGATGAAAATTTGTAAAGAAGGAAAAATGACTCATCCCTCCTATTATTCTTTCTGTCATTATCTCCTCTCTACTGAACAAAGGAAGTTTGTTCTTTCCTTCCTATTTTCCATCCACCCCTCTTCTTTCCTTCCTACCGAACACAACATTAATGAAAGCTTGTGCATTTCAAATTTTTATTTAATTATTTATTTATTTTTTTAATATATGTTTTCACTTATTTATATTGAATTAATTTGATAATCTCAAAGAAGATGATAAGTTTCAATAACCTTAAGTAGGGGTGCAATCATGTAACTGAACCTAATTGAGCTTATTTTTGAGATGTTCAAGCTTGGTGCAATGAAAAAAGAGGCTGTTCGAGGTCAGATAGAGCTTGAATATCTTTGTTTGAGCTTAGCTTGTGATGGCTCGGAATGTTCACGATTCAGGCTTGGCTCGATTGGGATAATGTGTTCCATTGATTTTAATAATTAAATCTTATGCTGCCAGCAATTAGACATTTGAATAGAGTTCCGTTTTTTTTTTTTTTTTTTAATAGAAGCAAGAAAGAGATTGTACTGACAAGTTTGAATGTTAGTAGCAATAATGAGTTGAACAATCTTTTACCATTACATATTTTCGATCCTACGGTTGTTCACAAGCCCTGTTGAGCTGGGTTCATACCTGTTTGGACTTCGCTTGGTCAATAAATGAAACTTCAACAAAGCTTGAGTTGAGTTTGTGAACTATTAAACTAGCTTCAGCGAGCTCGTTATTGAGCTGAGTCGGAGGTGTTCTTGGACCGTTTGGTTCATCTGCAACCCATCCTTAAGTTAGAAATAGGATCATATATAGCAACCATTTGGTCATCATATTAAAATTTTAGTTCTGTAATTGAGTTTAAATTTTAAGTCTTATTAGATAAGATGCCGACTTTGCAAAATAGGTTAAACATGTCCATTAGAAGTGTCATCTCACAGCTGTTTTTCATAATGTTGGTGATTGTCATGGTCGATCAATGTCCCTTTTGGAACGCAAAATAGAAATATTCGTTATATGTAAGGACAAGAATTGGTGTAATTCTGAAAGTCATCATACATACAATATGAGCTTGTTAACCTAATTAAGTGATTCCTTTCTTTCCGATAAAAGGAGAAAGGCTGACAGTGATTCCTTTCTTATAGTATTGTTATATTTGGTCACGGTGTCTAATCTTAAATGCACAATAGGCATATTAATTAAGGGTAAGAGAGATTTATTTATTATTATTAGTATTTTTTATTTATTTATGTATTTTTTCATGTTTTGCTTAAATTGTTTATGCAATGTATTTTTGTTGTTTCAATTTTAGCATTGCTATTGGAGAAGGTGGAGGAGTTGCGCCTCTTATAGCACTTGCGCGCTCTGATGCTGAAGTAAGTACTGGTATTTACTTCTTATATTGATTTGTATTAATTTTTATTTTTCTGTCAGTGTAAGTGGTATATGAACTCGTTTCTTGTATTAATTGAAAGTGCAATATAAGTCATAGTATATGGAAGCCTTACTGTTCCAGACAAGGCATCTGTATATTGTCTAATCACCCTGGTTAATATTTTCCAATCACAATATTTTTAGCTTTGCACTTCTAGTTTGCGTTTATTAGGTAGCCACACTATTTCTTCTTAGATTTGACAATACAGTATAAAAAATAGGTTCTCTTTTTGCCACGTCCTATACAATGCAGATTGTGTATCACCTCCTTCTTCATTGCTCAGTGGTGAGGAGTCGGTGAATCACCTTCTTCTTCATTACTCAGTAGCGAGGGATGTTTGGGCGATGTTTTTAGCTGCGTTCGGATGTTTTGGTGTCCCCCGGTTCCACGGTGGGCACAATCGAGGCTTGGAGGGGCTGTACAGTGGATAGCCGAGCTAGAGATGCTTGGAGGTCCACTCCCTTTTGTTGGGAGAAATAGGAGATCCTTTGACGAGGAGGAGACGACTCCTATTGGATCTCTCAAATACACTATACTGAGTTCTTTATTCTTTTGGGTTAATGGGCGAAATTGTAAATCTGTGGGGGATCTTGTTGATTTTGTTGATAGCTTGAAACTATCACAAGCCGCCTATGGCTTTTTGTGTATTCTTTTGGGAGCACTCCCCTCTTAAGTGCCTTTAACAAAACTTTACTTCTGAAAAAAAAAAAAAAACAATTCATGAAGTATAAGGAATGACTTTGGGTTCTTCTTTTATCTGGTCGTCCTACGATAGATCTTCTTCCCACTGTCAGCATAAGGCTTGCATAAATAGACAAGATGGATAGGGAGCATCAACTTCAGAGGGGGGATAAGGAGTTAAGGACTAGGCTTTTCAGAAGGTTTCAATAGAAGGGCTCAAAAGGGGAGCACCCAAAGATACGCAAAAGGCACTATACCCACCAACTGACCATATACCCTATACTCTCATATTACCAACAAAATCAATTAACTCCCCCAAAGATTTACAACCCCACCCTTTGACCCAAAAGAATAATGAACTCCAAATGAAATATTTCAAGACCGGAATAGGAGCTTCCTCCCCATGGAATGATCTCCTATTCTTCTCCCTCCACTCCACACCACACGCACAAGGGGGTCACCCTCTGAGTATCTCAAGCTTGAGGAACCACTGGACAACCTATCCAAGCCTTGAGCATGCTCCATGTGAAACCCGGTGAGACCCAGTGAACTCCAAAAATAATGAGGAACATGGGCCACATATCTCTAGGCACCAAGCAATGAAAAGGAAGATGACCAACCGTCTCCTTGTCTCTCGTACATATACACCACCAGTTCACCATAATCTGATGATTTAGTACTATGCACGGGAAGAATTTTTAATAACTGTGTTCAGTTTATATATATATATATTTTGATAAGGTGTTCAGTTTATATATATGAAACTCATTGATATTTAGGGTTAATTTTCCAGCTCTATTTTAATAATTCATAATGGTTGCCAAAATTAAATAAATATATTTTTTGTTGATTGTTGCAAGAGTTCCTTTAATATAAAGGATTTGTTTCAATAGTATTACCATCTGCTTCTAGTATCCAATTTTGGCTAATGTTGTTATTGGATTTGGCCTCTTGCTAGTAGTGGAACTCCCAACGCTCCTGACACATGGATGATTTATGAAAGGAACTTGTGTGCATCTCTTAAATGGCAGTTTTTTTTTTTTTTTTTTTTTTTTTTTTTTTTTTTTTTTTTTTTTTTAAATAAAAAATTTGCAGTCTTGTTCTCTTAAGTCATATAGTCATTTTGTTAGCTTAATTCAAATGTGAAGATCGATCTATAATTTTTCAGGTGAAGACCTGCTACGTTTGTTTACGCTATTTACTGGTACCAAGTTTAGCAATGAGGGGATGCTTAGTGGTTGATATGCATATTCAAATATGATAAGTAAACGTCCACTGCTGATTCCTGGGTGGCTTAGTTTTGATGGAATGTTGGTAAGAGTAGGACGGATGGTTCACTCTTTCATTTCTGATAACTCTAATGATGAGCCAGTGTGATGAACAGGAGTGCCTTGCAGGCATTGAGGAGGGTGCATCTTGAATTTTATTTTAATTTTAATATGTATAAAAATATATAGATAAAAGATTCAGACCCCAATTGGTTTTAGGACATTCAAGAGGAAACACAATATTGGCTAGTCATAGGGAGAAAGATAAGTGGGAAGATTTAAAGAGGGCTGCCACGTTTGGGAACCTGTTCTAAAGCTGAATTGGGATTCGCCAAGCATCATTCAAAATCAAACTGTGGAAGTTTCATGTTTGATTTATTTTGTAAACAGTCTTAGAGAGCTCCATGTCGGCATACAAGGCTAAATGATGTTCGGACAGCAGTCACAGCACCATGCAGGTGCTGAGGTGAAATGTGCTCAAGCATTTATACACAACGCATTTAAAAATTTAGTAAACCATGATATGACATTACATAAAGAACATTTTGTATATGAAAGAGACATTTGGCCTGTTGAGTTTGATCACTGAAGCGCTACATATTAATATTCGGTTTTTTAAAATTATTTTGTCTTCACCCCACCTTCCCCCTCAGCCAGCAAATCCAAGAATGCTTTTATATGGATACACATCATGATTGATAGATGGAAAGAATCTATACAGATCTGATATTTTACTATCACTTTACTTTATATTCGAGATTTGGATGTATTTCCAGTAAATAGTTGCTGGAACAAGTTCATAGTTTTATGCTTATGGCCTGATGCAAAGTTCTTTCTTTGTCGAACATATTGTTCATGTACTTCAGATTTGCATGTCTAATCTTTGTTTTTGTTGCATCTTGGTTGATACTTCACACATTGTGCTCATGTCACCCAATAAGAAATTATTTCTTTCTTCACACAATGGAACACGTATTGACCTTTGTATACTTTATTTCAGGATGTCCATGAGACTGCTGCCGGAGCTCTTTGGAATCTTGCTTTTAACGCTGGTAATGCTCTCCGTCTAGTGGAAGAAGGGGGAGTTCCAGCCCTTGTTCATCTTTGTTCATCGTCAGCGTCTAAAATGGCACGCTTCATGGCTGCATTGGCATTGGCATACATGTTTGATGGAAGGTACATAAATCATATCGTTCTATATATCTTAACAAAGTAATTTAAGTTCATAATAGTCTCTTTCCTCTTTCTGAATTCACCTGAAATGCTTATGCTGTTCTTTTTTTTTTTTTGTTGATAAGTAGCTTGTGCTGTTCTTTTCTTGCTGTGAATAAATTGTTTTTGCTTTTTCTTTATACTTGTATTTTATTATTTTATTATTTTTTACTTATCAATAAGATCTGTGTTATTCTCATTTACTTGGGAGGTTGGCACTTGGCCCTTTTATTATCTTACAAGGATTTTCTTGTTACTATCATAAGTGACATTCTTCCCCTTTCAGTCTTCGTGAACATCAACTTCTAAATTAGAATTCTGTTATGTTGGATCTACCATCTTTAGCTAGATTTAGCCATTTAATATGCATCATAAGTGAATTGATTCTTTGCATCAAAACATGTTTCATCCTTTCTTCTGCTAGACTACTGACAATCATTCTCTTAAGATCTTTGAGCATACTCTCTTGGCTTTGTAATGAAGAATTTCATTTCTTCTAAAAAACTGAGTTTACTGGCATGCCTTTTTGGTAGTTTTTTGCTGCTTGGAATGAAGGATGTTGCTTTCTGGTCGCAATAATTGTGGGAAAAGTAATATCCTACTTTGTGAAAGATAAAGCATGGTTTCCGAAGGAGTCCAAACTAACCGGCTTCTTGGTGCTGGTATGTCGAGCCCAAGGATCTCAGGAAAGAACTTAGCTAAGACAATTGGAGAAAAATACATGGCATCAGCCATAATGTTACACAATCCTAACATTTGGTTCGTCTACTGAAAGATACATCCATGGGTGTTCTAGCAAAAAATTCCACTTCTGAAATGGCAAAAAAAAAAAAATGAGAGTACACATACCTTCGCAGGATGGAGATACCATTGCTCCGCTAGAAATCTGATTATCATCACATTTACTTCATATTTGTGGGAAACACTGATGGAATCACCTATAATCCATGGGCATTTTAGGTGTACAACAAGAGTTGGAATGGAACCAAGAGAAAAGAGAAACTTCTCCATAGAAACTTCCTTTTACCATTTCTACTTATCTTCACACTTCTATTATTTCCTGTACGTTTTATATAACTCCCTTTCAATCTTTGTATGATACGCCTATCACACAATATACTAGGCGCGCTCTTCCATTTAATCCATCCTGTCTTGATTTTATGACTAACACTATTTTTAATTTCTCCTTCATTATGAATAATTGAGCATAAATAATGGGAATGTTCACTTTTTTTGTACTTTTTGATCCCCAATCTTCGATACATCTCAATTTGTATTTTTAGATTTGCTAAAATTACATTTCGTGTATTCATTTTTATTTCCAACCCTTTTAATTCTAGAGCTTCCCTTCAAACCTCCAATTTAGCACTTACTACTCCTCTAGTTTCATCAATTAATACAATTACACTAGCAAATAACATACACCATGAAACCTCATCCTGGATGTTCCTAGTCAGTTCATCCATTGCTAAGGCCCCAAAAAAAAAAAAAAAAAAAAGGGAGCTTAATGCTGATCCTTGATATAGCTTACGTGAATGAAAACCTGTTACCCCCACAATTGTTCTTGCTATCATCACATCATACATATCCATTATTGTGTCAAAATATCCGTTTGTAATTGTTTTCTTTCTAAAACGCTCCATAAATTTTTTTTTTTTTTTTTTTGATAAGTAAAAATGTATTAGAAGGCGTTCAAAAGGGGAACGCATCCCAAGAACTGTACAAGAACCACGATCAAAAACCAAAAAAGCCTAGGGATCCAAAGACCCCAAAAAATCCAAAAACTCCTCAACGGAAGAACAATCTCTCCCCATGCCCCAACTAAAAAGAGAACAAATAATAGAATACTTAAGAGCCCCAATGGGTAATTCCTCCCCAGCAAAGGATCTTCTATTGCGCTCTTTCCATAGACACCACCAAATGCTTAGGAGAGTCGCCCTCCAAAAGTCACGAACTCGAGCCCCCACCATCTGTCCCCTCCAAATATCGATTAGATCTCGTGAGGTCCGAGGCATAACCCACTGAACGCCAAAAAGACCCAACATAAGACTCCAACAGTCATAGGCCACTGGGCAGTGCAAGAGAAGGTGGTCCACAGACTCTCCATCGGTCATACACAGATAACACCGATTAACAATGACCTGTCTCCTCTTCCTCGAGTCAGGATCTTGCCCCAAGCAGCAGTCCAAGCAAAAAAAACGACCCTAAGAGGAGCCTTCGAATGCCAAATTGTTTTCCATGGATAAGAGGGAGCCTGAAAACTGGAAAGACAGAAGAAGAAAGACCGGACCTGAAGAGTTCCCCGCGAAGAAGGCACCCAAGTCAAAAGGTCCGCCCCCGTGCCCTCCACCTCCTGACAATACAAAAGATCCAAAAAAGCAGTGACATCATCCAGCTCCCAATCCTGGAAAGCTCGCCGGAACCGAACATCCCAAGATAACCTACCGTTATCAAGGCGATAGCAGTCAGCAACCAAAGCATGGCAATCCACAGCAATCCTAAACAACCTTGGAAATGCTCCATATTAGATCTTTAGGTACCTTGTCACAGGCTTTCTCTAAGTTAATAAAAGTCCTATGATGAAATTTCTTTCCTCTATATCTTTCCGTTAGTCTCCTTAACAAGTAAATAGCCTCCATCATTGACCTCCCTGGCATGAATCCAAATTGATTTTTTGACACTTTAGTTTCTTGTGTCGTTGTTCAATCACTCTCTTTCAAAGTTTTATAGTATGACTCATTAATTTAATACCACGATAAATATTACAATTTTGTATGCCCTCTTCTTTTTTATGCATAGGTATAAAAAAACTTTTCTGACACTTATCAGGCACAAATAATTATAAGTTATAAGTAATAATGATGTAACTATATAAATAACTAATGGTTAATTATTTTAAGTCAAATGCATATACCTATAAGTATCTAATAACTATGTAAGTAATAAGTTATTATGAAATATAAATATTGTAACTAATTAGTAATAATTATATAAGTTATTGGTTATAAAAATAAGAAAAACTAATACAAGTAATTATATAACTAATTGGAACAATAAATAGTTATAAATCTATATATATTTGTTTTGAAATAAGCTCGACTGCAGCCTAAAAATTAACCAAGTTTTCTTTGAATTAGACTGTAATGCAAAGTCGACCAAATTAGGTCTGTAATTAGCCCAATTTAAGCCCAAAATATTGCTAGATTGGAGGCCCAATTTTAGGCCTGTTTGTGGCCCACCACCAAGCCCATCTTGAAGGTTGGACCTTTGCCTTGCAAAATTTTTAGGCCTAGAGCATTGGGCGGTCAATGAACCGGTGGGCCCCGGCGCAGTCAAGCCTGGGCTCCATTTTGGCTGGCTGGCTGGCCTGCCCAACCCAGCCCAATGCTAATACATATAGATATCACTTTAGTAAAAAATTGTACTGCACCTGTATGAGATTTGCTGCTACTGCAGTTAATCTCTTCCGAGTCCAAATGCATCTTTAGGATGTATGAATTAATAAATGTTATAAATCACCTATATTGGCTTCCTACTTAGTAAACATAAAATTATTAAAAAGAAGTTCCTGAGTTTTTAGCTTATTTTTGCACAGGATGGATGAATTTGCGCTGTTGGGGACTTCATCAGAAAGCACATCTAAAAGTGTATGCTTAGATGGTGCTAGGAGGATGGCCTTGAAGCACATTGAAGCGTTTGTCCTTAAATTTTCTGATCCACAAGCATTTTCTGCTGCCGCTGCATCATCAGCCTCTGCAACATTAATGCAAGTAATAGAATTAGCTCGTATCCAAGAGGCGGGTCATCTGAGATGCAGGTTTGAGTCCCCTCTCTCTCTGTGTTGCAGTCAATTGCTTGTACAGTATACTCAATTTTACCCTCACTTTATGGCAGAGTTGCAGAAAAAAGTTCCTTTATTATTATTATTTTTTTATTGGTGGTGGTGGTTGTTATTGTTGAATGGTAAAGCAAGCACACACACTTTTGCCCACACCCGGGCTCGAACCGCTCCCCTCCTTTTTGAGGTTGGGGACCATTGGGCTAGAAACACTTTGGTCTCTATCCTGATACTTTGATGGTTAAGACATTATTAGCTGTCCTATCTCTGAATCAGTTTTCTTCTTGATCTGTAATCTGATGTGACCCCACCGGACTTGAAATTCGACAAAACGTTTTTGTCCATGGTTCAGCGATTTCACATACAAATTACAATTAGTTTGATATTACTGTTCTGTCCTACCATAACACAAGCAAGATATGTTGTATTGATATAGTTTCCATATGCACAAACAATTAGAAAGTGCAGTTTATACTTTAAATCAGTATGATTAAAGGTCTTTGAATCTTGCTCTTGCAGACAATATTGATTCAACAAGTAGTTCATGGTTCAGGAAAGAACAAAAATAATACCACCATTAGAAATTCTAGTGAGACCTGCACAGATGCCCTGCGGTATAGTATGCTGAAAATTTTGAAATATTTCAAAATGTAATATGTGGATCAGTCAAGAATATTAATTTGGGTACTAAATGCTGGCTAATAATAATAAACAAAATAGATGCAATAAATCTCATTACAATTAATATTTTTTTTCAATCTCGTCATGCTTTATATTTATTTTACTATATACACTCAATTATGTGCCTAATTATTAAGGTTATTTGCCTGGTTTAAGGTTTAGTTTCAAATATTCTGGACCATTTACTTTCTAATAACATTCTTAGATGCTTGTATTTTGTTAGAATAGACTTAAGAATTTAGTTTTGCAAACTAGAACAGCTAAACTGAAAGGTTAAATTATGTATCATCAGAATCGCGGTCTCTTATTTATTTTGTTTTTTTATTCCAGTTATGAAGATTGAACAACGAAACCAAAAGGTTCTACCACAATTATCTTTAGTAATAACTTATAAAGATACTTTTCTTTAAAATTCTACTCACTAAAGGTGTCTGTCACATATCAGATTTCTCTCTCCCCTCTTTTTTTTTTGGCATCTCGTTTATTGCCTAAAACAAACAAACAAAAAAAATTATTGTAGGTCTGTCCCAGGTTATATGTAAGCTTTTGTGCTCCCTATAAAATTCTTGCATCTTCGAATTTTATATTGTTCACATATTTTTATTTGCTTCAGTGGAGCAGAGATTGGAAGGTTCATTTCGATGCTACGGAATCCATCTTCTATTCTCAAGACGTGTGCTGCATTTGCACTCCTCCAGGTATCCCCCCCTCCCCCAAAAAAAAACACACACACACACATGCTGGGAATAGTATTTTTCATAGCTATATTGCTCCTAAAATTTGATGATAATGGCCAAACTTTACTAATCGGGGAAATGGCCTCATGAATCTAATCTTTCAATTGCAGTTCACCATTCCAGGTGGCAGACATGCGCTGCACCATGCGACCCTTCTGCAGAATACTGGAGCTACACGGGTTCTGCGTGCTGCAGCTGCAGCAGCGACTGCCCCACTGGAAGCCAAAATCTTTGCTAAAATTGTCCTCTGGAACCTCGAACACCATGTGATAAAACCTTCAATCTGAAGACTAGCTAGGCAGTGAAAAAAAAAAAAAAAAAAAATCTCTACCCAAACTCATCATTGGAGGCCAATCTCACAACAATCCCAACCTAGATTCATCAATGGAGGCCAATGGCATGCCCGATTAGGTTCTGTAGTTTAGGAGTTTGAAATGTCGTAGGAGTCTATCTTTGATCTCCGTCCTTTTCCGGAAGAACCAAACCATACTCGCAGGCAGTTCAGACCATCTTATTAAAGTAGTCCACCTATAGTTGTGTGTGATTTATTTATTTATTGATTTTATTTTTTATATTATTCGTTTCTGTCCTGTCTATCTTTGCTCTGCGTCCTTTTCCTGAAAAACCAGATCATACTCGCAGGCAGTTCAGCCCATCTTATTAAGGTAGTCTACCTATAGTTGTGTATGATTTTTTTTTTTCTTTTATATTATTTGTTTCTGTTCAATCATAAACTGGTAAAGGTACTTAAAGGTGAGTCAGAGAGATTGGTTCAAAGGCATCACCTTGCCTTTTTTTTTTTTGTGTTTTTATATTTGTCTTGACAATATCTTTTGTATAATTATATACTAGAAACTTTTTTGAGACTCCATTGAGGCTTTATCTGAATTCAGTAACTTTTACCTGGGAAATGTCACATTCCATTAAATTATGCACTCTCTCTTTTGATCTGGTAAGCAGGGTTAAGTCAGGTGGTTGGCTGCAAAGCTTACGTTTTACTGGTGATTGGATTTAGAGAATTTACTATACGTAGATTTTCTGAATATTAGTGGTAGACTCTAGTTTTCACAAGAAACAATATGGCTTAAACACAATTTTTACCAAGCAAGCTGGTTGACAGTGATTTTCAAACCCAGAGTGCCAATTGGCTCTGTTTTTTGAGCATGAGTTCAAGCATGGCTTGTGTTCAGTTAACAGAGTTCTTTTACAATTTAGCTGTTGCTGCTTCAGCTTAGTCTGCATCTCCATGCTCACCAAGGTTTCACTCTTCTATGCATATAAGGGTAAATGTGAGAAATCTGACCCTGCCTATGGTAGATTTCTTCTAAACATGCAACTTCTAATTGATTCCTTCTTTTGTGTAATTAAAATATATAGGCCTCATATTGTTAAATATAATGTTTCAATAATCACACCACCAAATAAATAAATTAGTAAAGAAAATCAGTGTCGATAATTACCAAATCTTTTCGAGCAGGAGCAGTTTCTTATCTCTCAGTTTCCCCCAATGCAGACAATCCAAAGGTCTACAATGTTCCTCGTAGAGTGCAAATGTTATTGTGAAATCATAGAATAAATTCCAATAAAAGATGGTACAATAATAAATTAAGTGGGGGCGATATTCGTACTACACTTTTCTTCGATTGCACTCTATTTATTTTTTTTTTTCTTTTAAAGGAAATGACAAAAAGATCCTTAAATTCATTAATGCACTATACCTTATTTTATAATGCCATAACTACCCTTTATACAACTTAATTTTTTTTTTTTTTAACCTTCTTTAGTTCCTTTTTTTTTTTTTTTTTCCAGAGGTCCTCTCAAAGAAGATAATTTATTCCATTATAATTTTATTTTTAACAGTCAAAAGAGATAATTCATTCAATAGTGACTATTTATTTATTTACTTATTTTTTTTTTTTTTTGTGCAATCAAAACAAATAATTTATTCAACAAATTTAACTTTTTTTTTTTTTTTTTTTTTTTCAGTCTTTGTGATTTTTTATGGGTCCCGTCAAAAGAAATATATATTCGTGTGTATATATATATATATAGGTCTTATCAAAGAGATAATTTATTCAATAGAAATATATATATTTTTTAATCCTCTTTTTTCGTACTTTTTTTTTTTTGATCTTGACAAAAGAGATAATTTCTTTAATGAATAATTTTTTTTTTTTTTTTTTTTTTTTTTTTCTATAAAAAGAGATTATTTTTTTTAATTGTTACATTATTTATTTATTTTTTTTGGTCCGGTTCGAAGATAATTTAGTCAACATAATTTATTTTTTCAGTCTTGTAAACAAATTATTATTCATTTTTTTTTTTTTTTTTTTTTTTTTAATCTTGCCAAAAGAAACCTAAAATATTAAAGATCAAAGATAAGGAGAGAGAAAATTTGATAGGAGTGTTGTGTCATTTTAAAAAGTAATAATCATTTATTCTTAAAGTTAAGGATAAAACTCTATTTCATATTAGATTGCAGTGCATACATATAAAAGTGCAGTGCGAATGACGCTCCCTAAATTAATACCCCTTTCAATTGTTTTACATATTTTCGTGTCCCCATTCATAGCTCACTGGTTATCGTGGAAATGGTGTGGTACTTATATTTACTTTGGAGTATGCAGCAGAGGTGTATCCTCTGTGAATCCAACCAGTTCCTTGAGTAAGTTCCAAAATGACGAGGACCATATGAAGGATGATGATTTTGTTGTTGTGAGCTGTTTGGATGCTTCTTCGTCCTCTAAGTATGGTACAATATACTTTTTCATGTCACTTTGAGAAATGTCAAGATGCCCTCCCGTTACATTTATGAACTTCACCTTCCCGGCTTCATCCAAGGTTTTCAAACCGATCCAATCTTCAGTGTAAAGTGTTGTCTACAGGGATAATTGACATAAAAACAAGAGCATGAGTTGGAATTGGACTTCAATTGACTCATAAGACTTTTTGATGTCATATTAGATATCTAAACCATGAATTTTTCTCCAAACCTATAAAAAAAAATAACCAAGTCATTTTAGACCTAAAAGATGCAGTCCATGAGTGTGAAAGGGTTTCATGAACCTATAAGTCATTTTTTAATATCTCAAACTCTTTGCAGCAGCAACACCACAATATGAGCATCAACATTCGCACTGAACGTCGATACTTTTGTCATAGATGAGATTCTCATGATCCTTGAGAATTGGAGAACCTTTTTTTGATAAAAGAATGAAATAATATAAAATACAAACATTACCTCTTGTGCAGTCAAAATAGTGCTCCATGACCCATCTGGATAATACCCAAACCAGGAGGTCTCCTTTGGCACCAGAACTGTGTCTTGCTCAAACTGATGCAGAATACAGAAAAAAACATAACAATACTGAAAATTACATCATTTTTAGAGGACCAAGGGATGTTTAAGAAACAAAAACTCACCATGATTAGCACCAAATTCTCCAAGCTAGCAAATCGTTCCTTGTAAGTGGAGTTTGTCTGATCAGCGATTTCATTGTTAAGCTTTGGAAGAAACTTACATCCTTGTAGATAGGCATCAATGTCCTGTGAGAAAAATTATTGTGTTACAATTTTAGAGGATGCAGTGGTTGATGTTATCCATGCATTGAGAAACATATAGCAAGTTTAACCCAAAATGGAGTTAGTACTAGTGAAAAGTATGCTGCATCAGGTAATTGCAAGAATACAAATATAAAGAACATAATGCAAGAAAAGTAGAAAAAAAAAACTGGCATATTTAATCAAGCACACTTGTTTAAGGGCTGTAGCCTAGTGGTATCTCCTTAACCTTCTAAAATAGAAGGTCGAGGGTTCAAGTCCTGTTAGGAACAATAAGTAAAAGCGCACACACACACATATATATAAAATCAAGAACACTTGACTATCATGAAGCTTTGAGAACAAGTGATTAGCAGTATGTCTCACATTACATCAGCTAGTCTAAATATCTCCTAACCTCAAGTAAATACTTTACTCACAGTTGGGATTTTAATGTAACCAGCAGGTGCCAAGTGTTCCTGCAATCACATTAAAGTGAGGCATGTAAATTGTACTTCATCTCAACCATGAGAATAGAAAGAAAGAAACAACATAAGGAAATCATAACAAAGAGAAGTAATCAATCCTTGAGTAATAAAGAATTAAAAAATCACAATATTTTTAAGAGGGGAGTGAGGGGAAGTCTACAGGGTTTTCTCATGCAATTTTCTCTCATCGGAAAAATAAAATAAAAGATTGTGGTGGAAAAATCACTTCCCATCTCAAAGGGCAATGGGAAATTATAATGCGAAGTTATAGGCTATAAGAAAGCTTAAAAAAAATATCTCACCTGGACATAGTTGCTGTAAACCTCTAACTCGATTAAGTAATCCACGAGAACGCACCACAAGCCAGACTGTTGACATAGGACTCATCAAACCAATACCACAAAAATAGCATGCAGAAGATGAAATTGCACATAATACACTAAAAATTCCAACCTTCACCCAAAATCTTCTTTCCACACCCAGTTCCAATTTTGTTGATAAAGCCTTGTGATGAATAGTCTTTAAACTTAAATTTACCATTATACCAGTATTGGGTATATTCCCAAGAAAGGTTTTATGATCTGACCAAAAACTAAATAATAGCACACGATCATAAACATAATAGTTATGAGGGATATGCTATGAAGAACCATCAATAAGCTCATATACCCATTTGGATTTGGCATTTTACCCAATTTAAATCATTACTTTTCTCATTAAAGAAGAGCACTTACTCCACAAAATGGAATAGAAGCTATCCCAGCATGCGGACCTGCTAATGATATGAAATTCTTCACCTGTTTCAAATAAGAAAGAAAACAATGCATAACATTATTTGCTGACAGATAAATCAACATGATGACAAAGAAATGAGGAGGGTGCTTAAAAGGAAAGAATGAACAATACTAAGGACAAGGAAATATATAGATGAATATGCACTCTCGTATCCTGGAATAGCACATAATTATGGACAAAGTGACCATGTAAATCCCTCAACCATACCGAGTATAGTTTCTCTAAACTTCTTTATCTCTGTGGTTTGTTAACCAACAACTTCAACATGAAAGAGAGCTATAGTGGAAGAGAACACGATATGCTTCAACGTAGTTCTAAGTATATAAGCCTTCCAAATTCTTTGGATCATAATTAAGCAGAAGCAGAATGTTGTTTAACCCAATTATTTTATATTGTTATTGTTATCCTAGAACAATAAAAGTGAGAGAATGTAGTGGAGATTGGTCAAGTCCTAGAACAAGGGTTTTAAGATTAGTTATTTTATATTGTTATTGTTATCCAATAAAAGTGAGAGAATGTTTGTACTATTCAAGAGTTAATGAGCTAATCTTATGTTTGCACACTCTCGCTGTAGTGGAGATTGGTCAGAGTTTGTTCAGTAATTTTCCCTCCTACATGATATTTTCACATAAACCCAGATGCTTTTTCTTTTTGTCTTTTTTCTTTTTTCTTTTAAATGCTTTTTTTTGTTTTGTAATCCTATTGTTGCTTTTGATTATCATACTTTGTTTCTCGTATCTGGCTGATATCAAGTGAGTTCTTGGAAATTCCTGGCATCAATTTGCCTCTTAGACAATTCAGCCGATTATGCAATCCACTTATTCCCACCAACCACGGGTTATTGAAGGCCTTACAAAAGAATACGACACTAAATAAGCTGAAAGCAGTCTATCTTTATAAACTGTCCTTGCTATTGATAAAACTGCATAGTGAATGAGTGCACTCCCAAAACCAATAGTAAAACTGCATCGGTTACCTTTCACTGACCAAAGCACCTTCCTTTTTTCTTTTGTTTAGAGATACCAGAAACTAGGTCTCCTGAACTACACTTCTGCAATAACATTATACATACATGTGATTATTTTGACCAGTCTACATCCTTGATGTATCAGTGATCACCCTATCTTTTTTTCTTTTTGACAATTCACCCTACCTTTTTTTGGACAAGACAACTCAACTCGACAAAAACATATCAGGATCCCAATTCAATAAGATATACCCTCTTCTTTCATTCAAAATCCAACAAGAAGCTTCTGAATTTTACCTCCATAATCCCCTTAACCTAACTACTTGTCTCCAGCCAATTCCCTCTCTCATCTATATCCCCTCATGTTTGGGACTATCCAAATTTGAAATATTTTAAAATTGCAAGTTTATAACTATTGAGAGTTTGTCTAAAGGATCTCCTTATTTGTTGTTCTATTATATTTTTCAACGACTGTAAAATTGATTTGAAGCTCCAATGGTCATTAACAGCAACTATACCCTGTGTTTGTTTTTCAGGTAGCAAGATGGGATGATGTGCATCCAGCATTATGTGATTTCTGGTCATTAACAGCGACTTTACCCTGTGTTAGTTTTTCAGGTAGAAAGATGGGATGACGTGCGTCCAGCATTATGTCATTTCTTCACAATGGTGGGATACAACTGGATTTTTAATGCAGGAAGACTGAAATCTGCATAAGCGGGATACATTAATCCCACTAAGGGGGTGGCATTGTGAATCTGAGAATCAGCAGAAAGAAAACTTGATATACAAACATGGTTAAGCCATCTTTTATAACTGACCATGAAATTAGGATGTGCCAACTCTCTCGTTTCAAGAGCTATGGAGACTGTATTTTGGGGGCAAAAAATGTCAGCAGTAATGTAAGTAGGAGAACCAAAAGTAGGATTGAAATAGGATTGCAATTCTGCAGCAAAATCTAGTCCTTATCCAACTAATGGGCAAGAATCTTTTTCATGGATTTCATATCCATGTATTTATTGATCTAATATTGAATGGGCATCCACAAACTAAAGATGCCTCTTGAACCAGATAGATTTTTGTATAAGCAGTTCCCCAATAGCGAGTATGAGAGTAAAGAGTGGTCGGGAAATAATTCGAGCCAGGTAAAGATAGAATGAGGATAAAGAATGGTGGGAAATGATTCAATGCAGGCAATGGAAAGTTCTTGAAATTTAAGGGAAGTATCCTCTTAGTCATTGTTGACGGAAATGGGCCCTGCTTATGGTGACTTTATTCTCCTTAAGTTGTACCAAAAGAAGAAGGCCTCTGTAAATGGGCAGCCTCCAAGAGTGCAATTGCCAATGAAATCATATTTCATCAGAACATGTGATGCTCCTAGTGAAACAACTTTGACCTCTTTTCCTTTTACCACTATAAATGGGTGTGTCCTTCTATGCAATACAAGTGTCAAAGCCACACTAGCAATGACACTTTAGCACGTACTCCCTCCGTCCCAATTTAAGTGTTGCTTATAGGGACTAGTAATTTTTAAGGGGACATGTGGGACATGCATTTTCTCCCTGGAAAGTTACTAACTTGCCCTTTTAAGTTTTGAAAATTCAAGTTTGAAATTTTAAACTCAAATGACATATATGGAAAGATGTGAAATATATTGTTTGAAAAAGGAAAATAGACACTTACTTTGGGACAGACAAAAAAGGAAAGGATGACACTCATTTTGGGACAGAGGGAGTATAAGAAAAGAGAGAGAGGAGGAGAGAAGGATAGAGAGATGTGATGTGTGGCCCGAATTTGGTGCCGGGTCGCGTTGTGACCCGCTTAGGGTTGAAGTGGTTTTTGCTCATGGGTCGTGGGTTTTGCCCCGTTTTTGCTCATGGGTCGTGGACCCTAATTAGTCTCTTATAGCCCAATATATAAGGGTTCTTAGGGTTTGGAGTGGTGTAATAGAAAGACTCTGAAATTCGTACAGAAACAGAGTGAGGGGCTGAAAATTTTACACATAGTGAAGACTTTCGTCATATCCCAACCGTGGACATAGGCAGTTGCCGAACCACATATAAATCTTTGTGTTCTTTGTGTGGTGTGTTTACTTTTCTTTCGTGATTCTTGATTCTATCTTGGGTTCATTGCATTTGTCATAACAAGAGAGATTGACATTTGATCTGAAAGTAGCATTGTTAAATATTTAAGATGTATAGAAAATTAGGTCAGTAATAATGATTATGTGAAGGATTAACAAATAAAAGTAGTATATATCATGGTTTCTATAAAGTTAGTTCTTACAGGAGGTCCTCCATCACAAAACTCAACTACGCCTCGGCCAACCATGTTACCCTGCGAAACAAGTAAAATGTTCACGGAAAATCGCAAATCATCATAACAATTACAAGAATATTAACAGTAAGAAACTATATGGAAAAGATAAAAAATATATATATTAAAAATTAAAAAAAAAAAAAATAGATGGGAAAAAATGAATCTAAAATCCATTATGAAGTCAAAACCAAAATTTTGCTTGAATCCTCCATAACCCACTAAGAACTTATATAATCATCACTATTGCACTCCATCCCCCACTAAGAACTTGTATAGCCATCACTATTGCATTGGCAATGATGATATACTAAAGATTGTTTGAAGAGGGATCAAACACCTCATTATCATCACATCATAACGACATGCTGTAAACTTTCGCTATAGTTCCTGTAGGAAAGTTAGGCTTCAAACCTATTGTGTCAAAAAGTTACACAAATGCTGGCTATGGCAGTTGACAGATTATCAGGATGGGATAAGTTCAGAAATGCACAACATTAAAACCACAATTAAGAGTCCAATGAAGGTTGGTACAGCTCAAATTTGTACATAAGTTAGCTGAGAGAACTGGAATTTCATCATACAAAACTTACATCACCTTTAGCTTATTCACTAGTCCATAGATAGGATATTCAATGAAGTGGCTTTACATCAAATGTCATCATTCCTTCTTCAACTCATATTTGAAGGATTTTAAGTTCCCAACGTGGAATGAAGAATCCCATAATTTATTCTTTACCATATATTTCAATCCAACACCTGACAACTACCAATTTATCATATCTCACTCCTATCAGAAGTTGCGGACTTGAACTTCTACGGTTCTTGTTGTAAAGGGTGATGGCTAGCAATTCCTCAGTAGGAGGTCAAGGGTTCAAATTCCATTAGGGACAATTAGCGGGTGCCTGAGTTTCTTTCCATGTTAATATATATATACACACACACACACACACACACACACACACACAGTGGTGTTCAACTGCTCCCTGGTGAGCAGGGAGTAGTATACTCACTTTTAATCTAATCCTACGGTAATATTAATTAATCAATTTTTTCTTTTTATATTTTTAAAAAATTGCTTCTTTTTTTTACTACCATTATATATTATTAACAGGAAATGACAAAACTAGACATGTTCTTAATGGAAATAAACTAAAACCAAATTGGCTAGGCTTTTCTTCTATACGCATACAAAAATTCCTTCCTATCCGTTCAGCCATGGAAGGGAATTCACAAAGCATACAAATTAAAAAATATATATTATTACCAATCCCTTCAACCATAGAAGGTTGAAACATAGAAGGCAACCACGTCTGAAAAAAATAAAATAAAACCAGTAGTATTTGAAAAAATAGATTCATTCCCTTTGCTACCGCCAAGCCAATAAAAAAATTGCCAACTGTCCACAGTGGCAGACTTCTTCTTCGCAACCAAGATGAATAAAATTAATTAAAGAGAAATAAGTAAGTCCTGTTTTTTTAATTTCCTCCCATACTTCATCCATTCTAATGATAAATTATGTAAGCACCTAGTGGGAGGAAATCGGATGACTAGGTGCTTACATAATTTATCATTAGAATGGATGAAGTATGGGAGGAAATTAAAAAGACAGAACTTACTTATTTCTCTTTAATTAATTTTATTCATCTTGGTTGCGAAGAAGAAGACTTGGGAAATTTTTTATTGGCTTGGCAGTAGCAAACGCTACTGGTTTAATTTTATTTTTTTCAGACATGGTTGCCTTATGTTTTAACCTTCTGTGGTTGAAGGGATTGGAAATAATTTTTTTTTTTTTTTTTTAATTGGTATGCTTTGCGAATTCCATTCTACAGCTGAACAGATAGGAAGGAATTTTTGTATGCGTGTAGAAGAAAAGCCTAGCCAATTTGGTTTTAGTTTTTTTCAATTAAAAACATGTCTAGTTTTGTCATTTCCTTTTAATAATATATAATGGTAATAAAAAAAGAAGCAAGATTCCTAAAATATAAAAAGGAAAAATTGATTAATTAATTATCGTAGGATTAGATTCTAAGGCCAGGATTAGAAGTGAGTATACTACTCCCTACTCACAAGGAGCAGTTGAATGCCACTGTATATATATATATATATATATATATGTATGTATGTATGTATGTATGTATGTATGCATTAAAACCTGTAATTTCTACATACTTAACATAAATTATCGACATAACTTTAATATTGTATAATATTTTGGAGAAATCAGAAAAGTAAAAGAAATTTCATACAAAAAAATTAAAAATTATAAAAAATTCATATTATTGTTCACACATTTTTAAATTTTAATTCCAAAGTTCAAACTATAACACCATAAGGTCTCAAGGTACGCTTTCGTAGAACAGCTAGCAACTAAATGGTGTGCAATGAAATAAATACTAGATGTGAAAATATAATAATTATGATCCCTTCTTTGTCACCTGCGAAAGCCCGACTATGTTGTAACCATCACTGAGTTCACTAATGTTCTTCACCTGTAAGTTGAAGAAAATACTAATTGAGAAAAATCAAACTTCAAATGCCAGGCCTGTGAAGCAAACATATTTCTTGATAGTTTTACCACCTTCTCACAAGCAATTTCTGTCTACAAAAATGCAACAAAAGAAGTAAGTTTAATTATTAGTAAATATGAATTATGATATATCATAATTGACAAACACTCCTTGCATTAACATGCAAGAGTCACCTGTTCCAGAAGGGGCATAAACCAGGAATCCGATGATCCATCTCCAATTTCTCTACATGGAAGAAAGGAAATCAAAATATTACATTGAGGATGAAGGCAGCAATTAATGAGCAGAAAAATTCCATTCTCAGATCTATATTTGTACAGACATGATAAAAGTGCTTGCCCCATATGAAAAGCTTCTGTATTTAGCAGTTAGCTAATGATGTATGACCTTAGATTCCATGATATCATCATATGGAATGGTCTGGGGATTATGTTGGACAAGATTGAACATCTCAATTCTATGGGCACCCAACTAAATACATGGTAAGTCTTTTTAAGAAGGCTTCTGTTGAAATCACTTTACTTTTATATTACCATTAAAACTAAGGGCTTTTTAGTTTTTACCCAACAAAAAAAAAAAACGAAAAGGATAATTTTAGGGGCAGATGAAACTAAACTCCATTATGTTGAGTGTTCTATGGTAGCTATAACTTATAGCAATGACTAACATCAGAGCGACCATTTCTTCAGAAAAAAAAGAGATATGTATGAAGGAGTTGTCTGCTACTAGTCTTGTAGACACAGCATTGGCCGGCCTCCTTCATGGAGAAGTCTAAGGAAGGAATTGTCCAATAACCACTAACAGCTTACGGGCTATGGTAAAATTAGTTAGACAGCCCACATATGGTTGTGTTTATGTGCATGATATTGTGTTATATACTTATTTTTAAATAAAATAATAAAGAACAATAGGAGCAAATCAATTCACTCAACAAAGTCTCAAGTTTCAGTGCATACACGCAATGTCCTTGAGAACCTGACCAGTTACCCAGATTCTCAGTGAAACTCGTGACTCCCTTAGTAGTGCATTTATCTGCAATACCTGCCATAATATGCATAAAGAAACATGTAAATATATCTCAACAATAGTGATAACTACAGAATGCAGTAATAACAAGAGACCATTTCCTCAACTGTCACCAATGTTTGTTCTCTTGGAGCAATTATATTGAGAGGTATGGTCATAAATTGTTTCAAAAGAGAAAAAATGATCGTGGAACCAACTCATATTTAAAATCGACATCAAAAGTACACATTCTCTCCTAAACAGACAAAATTACCACAGTATAAACTATTCTCGTCTATGTTCTAAATAACTCATTGTTTTAAAGGCCAAGTATTGCTCGCAACTGAAACAAAAGAAAGGAAGAAATGGCAATTACGGAGGTAGTAATAAATAGGTACCTATTTATTAACTAGATGGATGTGATGATACAAACTGTACGCCTATGGATGGGGGTATATCATGATAAAAGTAGCCAAACTAGTCCACTCTATATATTTATCTGTAATAGGAATAATAATATATGTAAATTTATATTAATATATCAGAAGATGCCAGGTTCCACCTAAAACAGGGGTGGTAAGATAAACTCAACTGATTTGCCATACAATCCTTGCATAACACAACCACTAAAGGGAGAAAATATCAATGTTGACAGTATTATATACTGACATAATGTAAAAGACATCAATATTAATGTCAAAAGTCAAATAAATAAATAAATAAAATCAAAGCACACCAATATACTGGCAACTTGACATTGATACCGAAAATTGAATAATATATATTGGAGACATCTATAGATATCCGATTCCATGAGGTCACCCACTATCCTAATAATCACATTTGACTACATAGTCTAATGGCCAGTTTAAAATGTAAATTCTACATAGTATAATGGCCAGTTTAAAATGTAAATTCTATAACTCATATTTGAATTTTTTTGAATTGCGTTAATGTTATGATCTTAAAATTCAGGCTTTGAGCATTATATGAAAGGACAATACTTGAAATACATAAAAACAAAGTTTTGTGGTCACTAGAATAATACACTAATTTCAACATTTCTGCTATAACTCATAATCAAAGTTCATACATAATAGGCATTGACCAAAAAATAAAATAACCCATTAACAATTGCATAATCAAAGAACTTACAGAGAATGAGAGTAAAGTAATTACCATGGAACACCACAAAAGGTAGAGAATGTGTGGTTGATATGAATGTAGTCGTGAAGGTGAAGATGATGAAGATAATTGGTATAAGTACTGATAATAGAGGCTTCGAAGCCATTGGTTTTGCAGGACAATAAATTAAGCTGTCCTAGCTTACCAACGGTGTGAAACGTTGCAAGAATCAATCTAGGGTTTCGATTCCGGGAACTTTTGGATTTGCAGGAATCGTGGGTCGACAATACTCTGGGATGTTCGCGACAAACATTGAGAGGTAGAGGTAACGACATATAGATATAGATATAAATATAGAGAGAGAAACTAGAGAGAGAAAAGGACGGAATTGTAGTAGATTGGTACGGTCAAAAGCGCCAACTAACATTCATAGGGATGCTGAACGTTTGTCTTACAGTCAGTTGATAATTTCCACTTCCCAGGCACCAACAATGCAACTCTCACTCTCTCACACACACACATATTTCTTGGGTTTAGGTTAGGGTTTACAGTCAAAAATTACTCTGTACTTAAATTTACCATTTACCTAACACCATTTTACCTTAGCAGGTACCCTGAAATTGAAATTAAATGCTCCAAAACAGCTGAAAAACGTTCCTTTCACTTAACCTGAAAGGGCCTAAGAAAAAAATTTATAAAAAAAAATTAAAATACCTAAATGATAAATTGAATAGGGTCAGCAAAATCCAGCTTGAGTTAGACTCCATCAATTAATAAGCTAGGTAGGGTTGAAGTTATTTTAACATTGGATTGTCCTTTGGACCGTTAGGTGTTGCATTTCAAATTAATACAAGTAGCAACCTACCTCTGTGCTTATGTGTTAGGTAGAGGCAATGGGCTACTTAAAAATCATCAAATTAATGTGCTTTGTGTTGATTTTTGTTTCCTCGTATCTACAAAATTATCTTAATTACCGGGGAATATATATATATATATAGATGTATAGATATATATAACAGCATTTGAAAAATCTAAATGCCACACACATACATTGAAAATTTAATGTATTCTTCAGCACTTGCTTACTTCTAGCAATATGATCAATTTGATTAATTTTTTCCCATGAAGACAACTTGGCTGAATGTGTAGTGGATATTTAGGACTAGGAAAATGTCCTCAAGTTGAAGCAAATCATATTTATAGCCGCTTGACTTGTTTGTAACAAAGCAAGCTCTAAAAAACCCCATCAAATGTATACATATTGTGAGACTTTTTCAGTTTTGATTTCATACTTGTAGATATAGGGCCTGCCTGTGGGACTAGTTTATCTAGCCAGACTGGAGAAGATTTACAAATGTAATACATCGTTCCTCGCAAGTGCGAGGTGTATTGAGAAATTACAGGAACTGGACTTGCATTACCTCAAGACTACAGAAAGATGATTCCACCATTGTGAGAGGTTTAGACATATTCATGTAAAAAATAAACGGCAAAACCCAGTGCACAAGGTTCCCATCATTGCAAGGTCTAAGAAGCGTCAGATGTACGGTACTATATATTTTTTCATGTCATTGTCAGAAATATCCACATGCCCTCCTGAAACATTTATGAATTTCACGCTTCCGGCTTCAACCAACGTTTTTAAACCGATCCAATCTTCAGTGTATAGTGTTGTCTGCATGGATTATTGGTAAAAAAAACAAGAAATATGTTAATGTTGGACTTAAATGGACTTGCATGACTAATTAAAGGCATATAAGATGTCTAAATTAAACCGTGACCTTTTCACCGACACTTAGAAAAGTGAGAAATCACTCAAGTTTAAACCTCAAAGGAAGCATTTTCCTTTCATGAGTGTGCTAGTTAAGCTGCAAATGAACCAAGCCGAACTTGAGTTTGTTTGGGCTCAGCTCATTCGTTTGTGGACTCGGCACAGAATCGTGACAAGCTCAACAAGCTGAGCTCGTGCTCGGCTCTTTTTAATATCAGTCGTTAGGACTCGATTTGAGCTCGTGTTCAAGATCATTTTGACTTATTCATGAACTTAGACAAGCTTATACATGCCTATGCTTATGAATGCTTTCATGAGCCTATATGAGCTTAAGTTCACGAACATATACGAGACTACACGAGTTTATGTTCACAAGCCTACACGAGTCGAGCTCAATATTGTTCAGGATTAGCTTGTTTACTAAACGAGCCAAGCTATCGATCTCGAGCTTGGCTCATTTGCTTAACAAGCAAGCCGAGCCCGAGTTGTTCATAAATAGCCCGTTTCATTCGCAACCCTAGTGCTAGTCCTAGAACCAATAAGGAATACACTTGTAGGACAGGTGTTTGTTGGACGATCATGATCAAATTGTTCACAACTAAATATTATTTGCCATTATTATGGCCCACACAACCAACTTTTGGATTTCCTTAGCTTTCTAATGGCCCAGTGTATTCCAAAGTTCGCCAATCAAAAATTACAAATGCTCTAGAACCCAGATGAATGCCTTACTTGTGGTCGATTCTTCCAGGACAATCATTCTGTATCACATCTTTGAGAATGAGCATTAATTTATCACGGGATTTGACAAAATTTATGTTTATCACGGCCATTTTTACAACTCTTTGCAGCAAGAGCACATTTTTTCCGATTTGCTCCATCCATGACATACTGATGGTACCCACGATACAAAAAAACAAGATAGACTCTTTGGAACATTTATTCCCACCTTATGTGGACATCAATGATAAAAATTTTAGAATGCAAATAGTGAGACACCTTAACAATTTTTGTCAAAGCATGAGCTCCTTAATTTCCCAAGAATTTGGAGAAATTTGTTGATATTAAGCAATTTCTATCAAAAGATCTTAAGAAGCCTAATGAAGAATGACACTAACCACAGAGACAGCATTATACAATAAAATGCAAACATTACCTCATTTGCAGGCAAAACAGTGTCCAAAGACCCTTCCCGATAATACCCAAACCAGGAGGTTTCCTTAGGTATCAAAACTGAGTCTTGATCAAACTGATGCAGAATACAGACAAAGAAAGCATCACCAAACTGAAAGCATTTTCCAACTTCAGAGGGAACTATTGAAAATTATATCATTCCTAGTGAGTGCAGAGATGCTGAGCAAACAAAATAGAACTCTTCAACTTACCATGATAAGCACCAAATTCTCCAAGCTAGTGAACCGTTCCTTGTAAATAGAGTGTCTACTATTACTGATTTCATTGTTGAGCTTTGGAAGAAATTTGCTTCCTTGTAAATACTCTTCAATTTCCTGGGAAAATAAATCCTTGTGCTCAGCTCTTATAGTAGGATCAATGTAGTTGTTAATGTCATATATGAAAGGTTGCAACAAGGAATGAAATTATATACATTCACAAATAAATAGCAAGCATGTAGTTTTTACCGGGGCAAGTGTGATGTACCTTTTATTAACACGAGTACGGCAACAAAGAAGTCATCAAATGAAAAGATGAAAAAGTAGAGCATAAACTAACATTTAATCCAGCACAATTGAGTCAATCAACTACATATCGTGAAGTTCTGAGAACAAATTTTTTAGCAACACATCACCTAATAGATCAGCATCTCTAATGATATCATAACTAACTAAAGTAGTTTACTTACAGTTGGAATTTTAATAAAACCCGCAGGTGCCAAGTGTTCCTGCAGTCACATCAAATGAGGTAACAAAACTTTATTTAGTCTGAAACAAGAGAAAAGAGCAAGAAAGAAACAAGACAATGAAACATTGACAAAGAGGAATGAACCTGTCCTTCAGTATGAAATTAAGAATTCAAATGCCAAAATATTTGAAAGAGGGGAGTGATACTACCAGAGAAACTCCACTACTGGAAACGCTTTTTTTTTTACCTCATGCAATTATCGCTCATCCAAAATTGTGGTGAAAAAATTACTTCCCGACTCGAAAATCTGATGGAATATTACAATGTAAAATTATAGATTATAAGAAACCTTAAAAGAGAAATCTTGACCTGTGCAAATTTGCTGTAAACCCCAAATTTCACAAGTATATCCTCCAACATCTTGCACTCCGATTCTTCAGACTACACATCAAAGCAAGACTGCAATTAATAGGAGTGAGTAGAAGAGGAAATTGCACATACACACTAAATAGTAGTTAATTCTTCAATCAAAATCCTTTTTGCATTTTGTCAGTAAAGGTCTTCTAATAAATTGAGTATTTCAAACTTAAATTTACCAAAGCACCAATATAGAATATATTCCTAAAAAAATTTAAGATCCAACCAAGAAATAGATTTTAGTATATATTTTAAACAAAAAATTGATATTGGAGAAATATTTGAAAGGAAATCATGCAGTTGAAGAAGTTATTATAGAGGGCAGGGACTCAATATTTCAAGTGCTTGTAACTATTTAGCACTTGTGTTCTTTTGCCACAAGATGTTGCTTTTCTAGAAATTTAGTTGAAGTTCCAAAGTGATCGCATTTTCGTCAGCAATTTTTTCAAAATAAAATTTGCCACTAGATCTTGCTTTTCTAGAAATTTAGTTGAAGTTCTGGAGTGACTGAGAGCATTTCGATCGTCAATTTCTTCAAAATAATTGTATGCCATTCAATTACTTGTGGCAAGCTAGATCTTGTGGCAAAGGAATGCAATTGCTTTGTACTCCTTTTGAGTGTTACAGTGGAACTGAATATCAGGATGTTTTTTGGTGAAGCAACATTAAAGACACATCAAAATTTACGCAAAGTAGATAAACCTCATGAAGAGGCATTGAATCCTTGGGATGCAAATTAAATTAACTTTGATATTCTTCAAAGCAACATATCCATGATTTATACAAGAAACCTCAATCCACCAGCTAAAATGGTGATTATTGGATACCAGCATTTCCAAACACCATGGCAAATACTAGTTTAATCTTATTACTTAATATAAAACATTAATTGATTGTGAAGGGAAAGCTACGGATCATGATAACAAAAAGAACATGGCATTATACAGAAATTTAAAACGAAAGGCACTTGAATTACCAATAAAATTAAGGCCAAGACAGACTTCAGGTTAATGGATTCGAAAGAGAAAAAGGGGTGATGAATGCATATGGTTTAAAGAGATTAGTATAAGCTACAATTAATATATGATAAAATAAAAAAGGGATAGCCCAGTGCACGAGGCTGCCACCATTACGGGGTCTAGGGAAGGTCAAATGTACACAACCTTATCTTCGCATTTAGAGAGGTTGTTCCCTTGATCCAAACCCGTGACCTTCAGGTCACAATGGAGCAACCTTACCGTGGCACAAAAGCCCATCCTCTTAATATATGATAAAATGTGAAAGATAGTTACTATTTGTTAACTAGTTGAAACTCACACACCCCTTTACCCCTATGGGGACTTGAATCCTTAAGATTATATTTGGAAGGTGAGGAAATACCACTAGGCTACAGTGGTTGGTTGAAAGATAATTACTTCAGTGGTATGATAATGAATATTATGCTTCAGCCCTTTACTTTACCAACTTCTTTTGTCCGTCTTTACATGATCAATGATTTACATTATGGTTCTATTCCATATAAGTCAAGGATTTGGTTTTCTCAGTAGTAAGTTGAGATGCTGAAACTCATTTTCCCCTCTCAAGTATGCAACAAGATGAACAAGGCTTCTGCTTCTTTTTCATTTCGCAACACTTGAATTCTCATACATGTATTAAGACTTTGTTACGTTCAATTTAAATCATAATTCTTCCCCTGAAAAGGAAGCACTTACACAAGGAGGAGCAGCTACCCCAGCATGAGGACCTCCTAATGATATGAAATTCTTCACCTGTTTCAAATAAAAATAAAACTTAAATAAAATTGAATTGCGTATGTTGATAGAGAATCAGCATGGTGCCACATAATGAGAGTACTAGAAGAGAAAAATGAACAACAATGAAGACTAGGAAACCAATAGATGTATATGAACTCTTATACCCTGGAAGAGCACACGGTTTTGGATAGAGCAACCACGTTGATCCTCTGTATATAGATTTTCTAAAGTTGTTTGATCTCTACGGTTTATTACCAACGATCACAACATGAAAGAGAGCACGGAAAGCCTCCACACTTCTATTCTTTGGGGCACATTTTACTAAGTGAAAGCAAAAGGTGCTTTGACCTCGTTACCTGCATATTAACTGGAGGCATACCTCATAAACAAAGATTTTTCAAAATTGGCAAGAACCTTATGATTGTTCTTGTTATTTTTATCCACTACAAGTGAGCAATATTTGTATTATTCAAGAGTTTATGAGCTACCAAAATTTTTATTTTCTACAAGAGGGAGCAATTCAATAAAGATCATTCCTCCGTTGATTCAAAATCCAATTAACGAATTTTGTATTGCACCTCCACAATCTACTTAATCTCACATTTTTCTTCACCTGATTCCCTCTCTCATCTAAATCTCCTCATGTTTGGATTTTAAATCAACTCTTTTTAAAGATTGATTATCTGAGAGAGGATAGATTTCCTTAAGCTGTCCAAATTTGCAATGTCTCAATATTGTAAGTTCATAACCTAAAAATAATTTGTCCTGAAGAATTTCTTCATCTTGTTGTTTTATACTCTTTTTCAAAAGTCTACTTCTTGATATGATAGGAAGCTCCTAGAGCCATTAACAGAGTAACAGAGACTTAATCACCACCATGTAAAAGTCCATCATTTGTTGATACTAATAAGATGGAATAATGTGCTATAAGCATTATCCATATCTGGATGCATTAAAAGTTAGGATCTACGGTCAAACAGGGGGTGGCATTGTTCAAGGAAAAACATTCAATTTAAAAGTGATTAGTGAAGTAGCAAGTTCAGAATTGATGATTATGTGAAGGATTATCAAATAAAAATACTATATCAGAGTTCTTACAGGAGGTGCTCCGTCACAAAACTCAACCACCCCTCGACCTACCAAGTTACCCTGCAAAACAGTTAAATGTTCACCAATATGCACCAATCATAAAAACAACACAAATATTGAAGTGAGAAACAATTTGATAAAATCATTAGAAGGGAAAATAATTGAACTAGAATGAAACGATCACTCGGGAGTGCAAATGAGAAAACAAAAGCCCCCAAAATTTTGCACAATCCTCCATCCTTCACCAAGCAACTTGTCTGAGTACTAAAATGACTGTTCTCTGATTGTGCAGCTAAGGGATATAGCACCTCATTGTGATAGCAAATCATAGTAAGATGCTGTAAGCTTTCGCTATTAGTTACTGTTAAGGAAGTTTGAGGCATCAAACCATAATTGGAAGAATCCTATTTTTTTTATTTTAGGGAAAGAGAATAATAGGAAGAATCCGAGTCTAGAAATTTTTTAGCCAACAAAGTCCCTGTATAAAAGGAACGTTTGTTTTAATAAATACTACAGACAAAACTTGCATTTAGGACAAATAAGATCTCTATAGAAAAGCTACTATTCAATTACATTTCAATTGCTCTCAAAGTCAAGTATTAAATCCCAATGAGAATTTCATTAAGGTACTAAGTTCTCTTCAACAAAAGAATTTTTAAAAGAATACCTTGAACATATCTACAAATAGACCAAACTGCCTCACATGATTCCAATCTTCAAAAGAATAAAATATTTACATTTAACCCTGTATTGAATCTTCTAGTCTCGCATCATACGTCCTGAGTTGGTGGCGACTTGGCCAGGGACATTCCTTTAATATTTTCTGGTATTGTTATATTTTAAAGCCCAGATAAATAAATTACCATTTACTTTTGCTGATACTACGTTGTTACCCTTTCTCTTCCTTTACTATATCTCTCTCATTTTTACTCTAGTTTGCAATATTTATATCATTGTATTTCTTTTCATAGTAGAAAAAAAATTTTTTTAGATGCAACACTAGCCATTTTAAATAACACTCAATCACAACGGAGTATTCAACCTAGTATATAATCCCTAATATGTATTACAAATATTTGTGGATTTTGACAAAATTGGAATCGGTTGAAGGCAATAAGTAAAACTGCTTGAAAAAAAATGGTCATCTCTGGCACATTTCCATTAGAAAACCTTGAGCTACCAAAAAATATAAATAATGTAGCTTCTTCCATAAATGCTAATATTCCCATAACAACCAAAACTAAAAAATGAGCTAGTAGGGCAAATAAGGTCCTCAAGGTGGGCTTTCAAAAAATAATAGCTAGCAGTTAAATTGCACTTGATGAAATAAAGTGAAATATCAAAAATTGAAAACCCTTCTTTGTCACCTGAGAAATTGCGACTATGTTGTAACCATCACTGAGTTCACTAATGTTCTTGACCTGCAAATCGAAAAAAGTAACTAGTAAGTAAAAAAAAAAAAAACCAAACTTCAAATGCCAGGCCAGTGAAAAGCAAACACATCTCTTGACAGTTTTACCACCTTTTCGCAAGCAATTGCTGTCTGCAAAAATGCGACACAAGAAGTTTGTTAAGAATACAAGTCAAATATGAATAATGAGACATCATAATTGACAAATCTCCTTGGCACTAACAAGAAAAAGTCACCTGATTCATAACGGGCATAAACCAGGAATCCAATACTCCATTTCCAATTTCTCTACATGTAGCCAAAAAAAATCAAATGATTACATCCAGTTATTAACCCACACTATTACGTGTTCACTCAAAAAGAACAAATAAATGAGGAAAATTATGGGAAAAATTAATGAAACTAAACTCCATTTCTGTAGGTTCCTGTTGGGAAATGAGGAGACCAAAGCTTCCTACACTGAATGTGGAACCCAATTGAGTGTATCTCGTTCCAAATATCATTACTCAAAAAAGCTTATATAATAACGGGACATCAACAAATATGACAAAAATTATTCTTCAACCGAGTGGGTCGCTCACAAGGACTTGTGGGTCCCACAAGCCAATCTGGCTTACTCAAATTAGACTTGTATAGCATTGACCTAATACATTTACTAAGTGGTAAGAACATACATGCAATATCCTTGAGAACTGGACCAGTTTATGAGTTTCTGAGTGAAATTTGAGACTTTAACACTGCTGCACTCATCTGAAATACCTGCCATAATATCCAAAAAAGAAAAAAGGAAGGTAAATATATGTCTACAAGGTAGGCTGATAGCTGCTAAATTGCAAAATATCAAAACTCTTTTATTCAATGCCTCTCGTGAAATATTATACTACGTATTACTTGTAAAATATGCATGGTAAGGAAGCCATATTCGAAAGAGACCCAGTGAAAATAAGCTCAAGTCATGTGTGACCAAGTGAAAATAAGCTCAAGTTATGTGTTAGGCATTCCTCAGATATAACAACCATCATCAACCAACTATAGTAATATTGGGAAATGACAAAATGGGAAAGACAGCAAAATTAGTGAATATCTGTTTTTTATGTGAAAAAAAGAAGAAGAATATGAATTAAAGAACCGAAGCATATTATAAAAGTAGTACCATGTTGCTTTTTAATTGTGCACCTCGTATACGATTAAAAAGGGACGGAGGTAGTACTTCATATGATATAGGGACTGCAACGCGGGCGGGTTAGGCGGGCTTGTTAGCCCAGGCTCAAATCGAAATTAGAAAAATATTGCCTAAGCCCACAAAATTTCAAATTGGGCTCGGTTTATTTTGGATTGGGCCCGCCGAAGTTACAACCCCAATATTATGATATCAATGTTAAAGAAAATGAACAGTGAAAAAATATGGTAGTTTACACTCTGAACTATAGTACTTTTGCATAAGACCCCCTTCGGTCACTGCGCCGTTTGAAATGAAACGGTAGAAGATCACATGCAACTCACGTGGTCTGAAACTATGCCAAATGACTAAAATTACCTTAATTTTCCCAACCGACTGACACCCGAAACTCTTAATCGCAAAAAATCAATTTCACTCCGCCCAATTATTCGTTCATTGCTTCTTCTTTTTCCCTGATACTCTGATTTCAAAAACAAAAATCAACACTATCACATACAAACCTTAATCCCAGCATTTGCATATTGTTGTTTGAATTTATTAATTTGTCCTGAACTTTCAATCACCGAATACAGTGATGGCGACGGCGGTTCTACCACTATCGGCGCAAACCAGTCCAGTGACATCAGACGCAGACGGCGGTGCATGAGCCGGTAGGGTTCACCTATACACGAAAGAAAAAATTTACGATTTCTTCAACCGCGCAAGTCGTGTCGGTTAGGGTTTGTCGATTAGGGTTTGTTAGGTTGAGGCTTTGATCGGTTTAATGTTGCGTCGGCGCCGGAGTCGGGAGTTTTTGTAATCGGAATCTGACATGAAACAGAGAGAATTAGAGAGAGGAATTTATGGAGGCGGTTGGAGATGGTTGTGGTGAAGGCTAGGGCATAGAGAGATTTTCTGCTGGTGGGGGCGACGGCGGTGGTGGTGGAGAGAGTGTAATATGTGTTTTTTAATTCGGAGGGCAAAATCGTCTTTTTGTTCATCTGTTAAGAGGCTCATGTGTACCGTATTTAACTATTTATCAAAGTTGAGGGAAGATTTGATTTTTTTTTTTTTTTTTTTTTTCAATTTTGAACCACATATCAAATGGCCCATTTTCTATTTTTATTATAGAAATTAATATTTAGATATAATAAATCCTTAGAATGTGGATTCTTTTTTTCTTTTGAAAAGGAAAAGGCTATGACCACAGTAGTATCCATAAACTCTATTGCTTTTTGATACTTCCCATAATAGTTGTATATTTTTTCTTTTTAGATTATTCCAAAATACTTGTTCATTTATTAAATTTTAACAACATATTTTATATCTTTTCATAAAGACTCTTAAAATTTTAAAAAATTTCAAACTTGAATATATATATATTTAATTTTGTAATTTTTGAGAAAATAACGCAATAATTACATGTCTCCTTAAAAAGTTCTAATCTCCTAAGAGACATTTAATCTGAGACGAAGGGAGTATTAAAATTATGCAGGTTTATACAGGTAAATATTTTTTTTTTTTAAATATAATTTATAACAAGCATGTCACATAGTCCAATCAATTTTTCATTATCTTTAATTATTTTTTGACAAATTCTGATTAAATATATATTAATATATAAATAAAATTGACATAAAACTAACTTATTTAGTTACATATCAACTGATTATTTGAAACCGATGATTGATATAATAATTTTTAGGTTGAATTTCTTTGATGAACAAGTGGGGTCCATGTTTGAATCCCATTTGTTTTACTCAAAGAATGGTATCATTCTTTTTCTTTTCTTTTCTTTTTTAAAGGGTATTTTGACTTGGCCTTTCATGGCAGGGGCATTTTAACATGAATAACTCAAAAATGATTGTTAGGCTCATTTGCTTGTCTGGTCTAAGATTTTTATTTTTTAATATAGTGGATAGATTTTACATTTGAATTTATCATTTACATCAAAGGAATAAAAAAAATCCTTAAACTAGAAAAATTCATTTGAGAAAATAGCTAACAATCATTATTCTAATTTTTTTTTTAAATTTAATTTATTACTTAATTCTAAATAGATTAAACATTTTTAATTAAATTTGTTTAATGAGGCAATTTGAATATAAATAAAAAGGGTAAACGCAGCTTAAGGTAAAAATATTTCTTTTTAATTAACACTTAATAACTTTATTACTTAAAATTCAACTCTTTAAATTTTTAATTTTATTAAACACTACCTAAATCGTTTTATTTTGATTTTCTTAAACTGGAGAGGTGAGCTAAACGACTGTTATTACTTCAACTTAAGACAAGTAAACACAAGAAGCACAAGGACGTTGCTTTTAAAAATGAATCAAAGAATTAAAACCACATGAGAAAAAAAAAAAAATTAAAAATTAAAAACAACAAAACATAAAACATATACCATGCGATCAAAAACCTGTATGCAAATTATTTAATAAAAAAGAAAAAGCATTTTAGCACAAAAAAATAAAATAAAATGATGCTAACACGAACAATAGACTAGCTAGTCTCATACCTCCTCAATCTTTTGAATGAATTAATAATGGGCATTGAAAATATAAATAAATAAATATATACAAATAATTAACTAATTAATAAAGGAAAAACTGATAAACAATCAAAGAACTAACAAAGAATAAGAAGATTGATTACCATGGAACACCACGAAAGGTAGAGAATTTGTGGTTGCTATGGCACTCATCATGATTATGAAGACGATGAAAGATATAGTTTGTAGTAGTGTTACTGTTTTTGCAGCCATTGTTTTGGTCAATAAAATATATATTAAGATGTCTTACCACAATGTGGTAGTTGCAGAGACGGAATGAAGAGAATGAAAAGGCTAGACACACACATTCACACACACACAGTTTGACATATATATATATATATGTGTATAGGGAAACTAGAGAGTAGAGACAGAATAATGGATTGATACGGTTAAGTGCGGGCTACGACGTCTATGTAAAAAATACTCCGTACAAAAGAAGAAAAAAAGGGTCAAAACATAAAATAAAATAAAAAATAATATTATTATTAAAAAAAAAAAAAACATCATTCTTGGTACTGAAATTAAGAATTTAGTGTAGAATTATTGATGTCATGTGGTTGATGCAATCAATCAATTACTATATATTATTACATAAATAGAAGTAAAGTTACTTCAATAGGTCTCATTACTATTTATTATTACATTTAATCACGTGTCATTAATATTTTGAGAATAATTTATAATTATAATTATATTTTGAAAGACTGAAAATTTATAGGTCATATTAAAATGTTGTTATCTATTAAAATAATTTTAATATGAAAAATCAAATTAAAATATATCTAAATAAAATCTTAATAGCTCGTCAAACATGACTGTATACATCTAATCAAATCCTTTTATTTAAGAAATAACAGCCAAAACACTATTCAAGTTTTTTTCATCATCTTTTATTGGAAGCTCCATTTTTATTTTTAATTTATTCCATTTTTTGTTTCTATTATACTATTCTAACCTTTCTCTGGCTATTCTTCTGTATTTATTTGTAATGCCATTGAACCATTTATTCTCTTTTTTAACAGCTTTAATTTTGCTCATTGTTTTTACGTACGAACACAAAACTCATCTTTATGTGCTTATCTCTATTTAATGTAGGACGAAACACCAAAAAAAAGCCTCTAATTTTATTTTTCTCAACGTGCACAAGTTAAATGGCTTTGGGACCCCGCTTTACATGATCAAATTAAGAGATATTGTTTTCATTCAAAGTTTAATTTTTGATATTTGTACAGAATTTTAAGGATTTGTCTTTTCGGTCCTTAGTCAGAGTAAGTAGACATGACAATGAGTTGCTCACAGGAACGCATCAATGTGACTTTTAAAAATTTTGTTATTATACATTGCTATATAATTGGGGGGGAAAAAATAGTAATATATAACAGTAAAAATAAAAATAAAAAATTTCCTTGGGTCCGTCCCGGAGGCAATGATCATACTACTCGGCTTCTTCTGGGTCCCCTACTTTTGACCTTTTCCCGGGAAATTTAAGCAAATGAATGAATATGTACAAAGATGGCCTGAGATAGGCAACAGAAGGATGGGCCTTTCGGCCCAATAGGAAAGGTGAAAGACCTTATCCAAGGAGCCTTAAATTTGGCCCAATGAACTGTACAAAACAATGCAAGGCCCAATAGAAAGGTGAAAGACCTTATCCAAGGAGGCTTGAATCTGGACCAATGGTCTGTACAACACAATCTAAGGCCCAAATAAAGACCCAGATCATTCAAAAGATGCAACCGTTGCAACTGAATGTGCAGGGTACACATATACATTGAAATCCCATCAAATTATATATATATATATACATATATTGTGAACTTTGCAATTTTGATTTCATACTAGTTGATACAGTGCCTGCCTGTGGAACAAGTTACCGAGCCGGATTTGAGAAGATCGATCATAAAACATTAATTGTTGAGAGAAACTTAAAAGTTATTTTTGAACAAATAATAACTCCCACAGATTTTGAAAACAACCATTTGGAAAAAGTTTGATGCCTTCTTTTGTGCAATCAATATATCTATTTAAATCACATATTGTTATGGATAATTTGTTAATTACCATACCTAAGAAAAAGATTATATTAATGATGAACAGTAATAACATGAATAATTGACTAGAAGCTAGTCTTTATCATTCACACAACGAAGATATATAATAGTTCCAAACCAACATAATACATACCCTTAAACGTTTACACAATAATGCATGCAATAATAATACAAACAAGATGCATACACTTAAACGTTTACACAATAATACAGACAATAATAATACAAACAAGATAAATAAATTCCCATTTATTTAGTCACTGGTTTACACGGAAATGGTACTAGTACTTGCATTACCTTAAGAGTATGCAGCAGATTCAGGTCTATCCTAAATTTCAGATTGATGAGGACGATGATTCTACCATTGAGAGTGTTACAGACCCGTTTAAGTATGGTACAATATATTTTATTATGTCACTGTCAGAAATCTCTACATGCCGTCCTGACACATTTACGAATTGAACCTTTCCGGCTTCAACCAAGGTTTTCAAACCGATCCAATTTTCTTTGTACAGCATTGTCTTCGCGGAAGAAGATTCACATAAAAAATAAAAATAAATAATAAAAAAAAAGGAACAAGAGAATACAGAATTAAGGTTGGACTTGAATTGAGTTTTGTTGGCATATATAATTAGACATATAAATTAAAACCGGACCTTATAAAATGCAAGCATGCATATATACTTACCTCATTTGCTGGCAAAACAGTACTGTTAGCCCAACCCGGCCCTTCTGGATAAAACCCAAACCAGGAGGTTTCCTTAGGTACCAAAACTTCGTCTTGATCACACTGATATATATATATATATATATATATATATGCAGAATACAGACATAAAAGGAGGCATCATCACTGCTAAACTGAAAACATTTTCTAACTCCAAACACAAGTATTGAAAATTAAATACAAGTACTCTTCAACGTAATAGTACGTGCGTACCATGATAAGCACCAAATTATCCAAGCTAGCAAACCGTTCCTTGTACGCAGAGTTTCTACAAATAGCGAGTTCATTGTTGAGCTTTGGAAGAAACTCACTTCCTCGTAAATAATCAGGAATATCCTGGGAAATTAAAAAGAAATCCCTGTGTTTTCAGCTCTAGCTTATAGTTGCCAGAAGGATCATATCAATGTATGTATAATGTAGTACACGTTGTTGATGTCACATATATATATATATATATATATATATATATATATATATATGAAACGTTGCAATAAGGAATGAAAATTATGTGTGTGTATAGCAGGCCATGTAGAGTTAATAACAGGGCAAGCTGTGATGTAACATATTTAATTTAAGCACGACTGAGTCAATGGACTATGCATATCATGAATCATGATCAAGTTTTGGGGACAAATTTTTAGCAACATTTCCACCTAAAAAACAATTTTAATTACTTACATCTGGAATTTTAATATAACCCGCAGGTGCCAAGTGTTCCTGCAATATATATATCACCATCAAATGTTATTTAGTCTGCCAAACCACGAGAAAACGGCAAGAAATTAAGAAACAACACAATGAAATCGTGACAAACAGCTAGGAATGAAAAAAATTATTTCTCATCCAAAAAAAAGAAAAAAATTGTGGTGAAAAATATTTCCCATATCGAAAATCTGATTGAATGTCCGTTGCAATGTAAATTAATATTAATATAAGAAACCTTAAAAAGAGAAATCTTGACCTGTACAAATTGGCTGTAAACCCCAAGTTGTTCGATTAAGGTGTCCAATTTCGAGCACACCTCCGGTTCAGACTGCAGAAATATCAAAGCAAGACTGCACAATTAATAGGGGTGCATGTGTAGAAGAGGAAATTGCGCGCGCGCACACACACACACACAAACCAAATAGTAATTAATGCTTCAATCAAAATATTTTTTACATTTTGTCCATAAAGTTCTTCTAATTAATAGACTATTTCAAACTTAAATTTTACCACAGAACCAATATAGAATATGTTCCTAAATAATTTAAGATCTGACAATAAAGATTTTAGCATATAGTTTGAAAAAAAAAAAAAAAAAAAAACTGAATTAGAGAAATAGTTGAAAAAAAGAAATTTGCATGCATTAAGACAAGAAGCACTTACACAAGGAGGAGAAGCTACCCCAGCTTGAGGACCTGCAAATGATACGTAATTCTTCACCTGTTTCAATTTTTTTAAAAAAAAGTTACATAAAATTGAATTGCATATGTTGACAGAAAACAGAAAATCAGTGGTGCCACAGAATAAGGAGATCGAGTACTAGAACGTAAAAATGGACAAGAAAAAGACAAGGAAAGTAGTAGATGTACATTTATGAAGTGTTCTAACCCGAAGTGTCTGAATACGGGTATACATACTAGATGAGCTACGCCACTCTACCGATTAGGCCACTAATTAAGTAACACCTGTTTTTCTAGAATTCTTTGATCTCTATGGTTTATTTACCAACGTTCAGAACATGATCAAAGAGAGCAAAGCATGCCAACGCAAGACCTATAAATCTCCTGTTTTTGGATTTTAAATCAACTTCTTCAAAGATTGACCATCTGAATAAAATTCCTTGAAGCTGTCTAAATTTGCAATGTCTCAATATATATTCTAAGTTCATAACCTTACGAGTGTACGTTTGTACTCAATAATTTCCTTATCTGTTCTACTTTGTTTTGTTCAAAAGTAGTCTAGTTCTTGAAATGATTTGGAGCTCCTATGGCCTATTATTAACTGGCTAACAAACACTTGGCTCCGATAGTAAAATATTTTTCGATTTTTTTTTTTTTTTTTTGATGTTTGATTGTAGTAAAATATTCACGAAGAAAAAAAATATTAAAATCTAGTAAAAATAACTTATTTTTCAATTTTCGACAAATTATTTTATATATCTCATTTGATGGATTCGATTTTAACCTCCGCCTAAACCTTTACCGGACACTAAAAAATAAAAATAAAAATAAATATATATATATTTTACATGAACAAAGAAACGTCCAACCAAACCAATACTTGAAATGATTTTGTTTGTTCAAAAGTAGTTTAGTTCTTGAAATGCTTTAAGCATCATCCATATTGGATGCAATGATAAAACTAAATCAGAGTTTGTAAATAATGAATTCTCACAGGAGGTGCTTCGTCACAAAACTCAATAAGTCCTCGAGCTACCATGTTACCCTGCAAAACAGTTAAATGTACAAATTATAAAACCAACACAAATATTTATAGTTTGATAAAATCATTAGAAGGGGATGAAAAAAAAATGAAACTGTATATATATAATCCGTTAGGAAATTAAATTATACTTGATGAAATGAAGTAAAATTAAAATAAAAATTTGCAACAACACTTCCTTGTCACCTGAGAAATTGCAACTATGTTGTAACCGTCATTGAGTTCACTCATGCTCTTGACCTGTAAATTAAAGAAATTAAGTACTAGTTGAATTAGAAAATCCGAACTTGTAATGCCAAACCAACGAAAATAAAGCAAACACATTTCTTGACAGTTTTACTACCTTTTCACAGGCAATTGTCGTCTGCAAAAACATTATGCAACACAAGAAGTGTGTTAATTAAGAATTAATTCCAGTAAATCATAAATCATGAGGCATATATATATATATATATATATATATATCATAATTGACAACTTTCCTTGCACTAAAAGAAAAAAATCACCTGATTCATAAGGGGCATATAGATGGAACTGTTGTATCCATCTCCAATTTCTCTAAATGTGAGCCAAAAAATCAAATTACATTCAGTAATCAACCAAAAATATTAAGGGCTCACTCAAAACGAACAAATAAATGAGAAAATTAATTATGCAATAAGAGAAAATCAATTGAAAGCAGTAAAAAAGTCATATAGTGTGTGTGTATGTATATTACTCTTTCTAACCCTCTAACATTCCATTTTAAAAGAGAAGATATATCACCAGACCACATGTCCACAGCCTTGATGCTTATAAAACAATGAGACATTAATAATGTAACAAAAATTATGAACCAAGTCACATGGTAAATTCTACCATAAGAGATTAGGTTTATACATACTCTACTTTTATATCTTTTCGCCTCAAAATAATTATCCACCTTTTTATTTTTCGTTGTCCCATTTAAAAGGTTAAAGTATTATTTTTTATAACATTACCAATTTAACCTTTTAAAATTATAAAAAGTAAATTATTACATCCATATCGACCAGTGGATAGATTTGATAATCAATCACTATCAATGCAATATATAAATAAAAAAGAGGATACACGCACTCCATTTTTCTACACTTGCACTCCACTTGCTTTTATCTTCTAAATAAAATGACAAAAAGATCATTAAATTTATTAATGCACCATTTCTTATTTTAAAATACCAGAGTTATCCTTTATACAGGTATAAACTTAAAAAAAAAAAATTACTTTATCTATTTACTTTAATACTTTTTTTTCTTTCTTACTTTCTTTTTTATTTTTATTTTTTATTTATGCCGTGGAGGGAAGAGATGGTAGAGGGGCCTTGTTAAAAGATATAATTTATTCAATAGCAGTAATTTTTTTTTATTTTATGTACTATACTTTTTCTGTTTTGTGTACTATATTTTTTAATATAAAATTGTCAAAAAAGATAATTTATTCAACACAGATAATTTATTCAATAGAGATTAGTTGTTGTTTTTTTTTTTTTTTTTTTTTTTTTTTCAAAAGAGAAAATTTATTAAATTGAGATAACTATTTATTTTTGGTTCTTTGTTGTTTTGTATTTTTGAGTTTTGTCAAAATAGATATTATTCGAGAGAACCTTTTTTGTCCCTTTTTTTTTTTTAAACACTTTCAAATCAGATAATTTATATATATATATATATTGGGTTTGTTGCTGTCAAAGGGACCGAAAATATTAAAGATGAGAGAGAGAATGAGAGACCAATCATATTAAGAAGGCTAGTTGTATAATTTGAAAATAAACAATTATGGAGTATTCATTTGTCAAGTTAAGGGTAGAAGAGTTATTTAATTTTAAATTGAAGTGCAAATGTAAGAAAGTGAAATACAACTATCATTACATTAAAAATAATAATAATAATTAAATACTAAAACTTATCTTTTTAAAAAAATTAGATGGGAGACATTTATTTTGAAATGTAAAATTATAACGTACATGCAATATCCTTCAGAACCGGACCAATTAGTGAGTTTCTGAGTTATAATTGAGACTTTATCAGTGCAATTATCTGCAATACCTGCCATAATTTTCACAAAAAAGGGTAAATATATATATATATATAAATAATTCGGACCATAGATTCACAGTTTCCATGAAAAAATTGAGTAAACTAAAGCATTATAGAAGTAATTGATATCATTGTCAAAGCATATGAACAGTTTACAATTGAAATTAGATATATAATACTGTATATGTTTATATGATCCATGACTTCATCCATTCTTGTAATGACCGACATTTCTAATTTCATAATCAAATAGCCCATTCGAATGCAATTTTTGCTTTTTGAAATTAACTACGCTGGTCTTTACAATTAAAATTTTATAAAATTTATTTATATGGTCGGTCAAACTTTTATTTTATTTTATTTTTTTAGTCCTGTACAAAATTTGACCAACTCTTATAATTTTATTTAAGAATATTATCATATAGTGGGGCATTTTAAATATATCTAGAACTCGTTTTACCCATATTTAAATATGTTAGAGTTAGAGTTAGACTGAAGCGGCGAGCTGAAGGGATAGCAAATCAGTCCCATCTCAATTCTTCCAACGATTGCATATCACTTCAACTTTTCTCTTCGGTCCAAAGCATCAGTATGATTAATTCTTTAAATATGAGTAACATAATGATGTGAAAGGTTCACTACTTTTCGTGTTGAAAATATATTTAGGCAATGAAAGAACTCAGAACAGGCGGGACGGACTCAGAATATTAGGCGAAGGGAAAGAATAATTTTTTAAAATAATTTTAGAGGAACAATAGTAATATTTTATGAATATATAGTGAAATAAAGAAAAAATAGTAAGGTACTTTAGTAAAAAAAAAAAAAAAAATTCAGGGGGCATATAAGTCCGTCCCTGAAGACAGGATATATAAGAGTATATTTGGCAATTGATTTTATTTTGTGTTTATGTTTTTATTTGAAACACAAATAACGTATATGTTTTTGTTGTAAAGTATGTTTAATAGTGATTGGCAATATAATGTAAAATTTGTTACAAAATTTTTGTAAACAAAAACATATATAATAAAAAAGTACATATTACAAGATTGATAAAAATAAAAATAAAAAATTTAAAGTATTGCAAGATTGCCACCGTGTTTTTGTTACCGTGTAAAAATTGTTAGGACATATCAATTTAGTGTTTTTAATTTGTGCATTGATCTTTTTAGTAATAAACACGTTACTATTCAAATCACAATAAAAAATTTTAGTGTTTTGCCTCGCTACCATACACCACCTGCAACACAAATTAAGAAACAAAAATGATTGCAAACAAAATTGTAAGAGGATTGCTTTTGAAAATGAATCAAAAAATTAAATATTAAAGCTTATATATAAGGAAAAAAATACTCTGAAAACAACAAAACATAAACACATACAATGTGAGCAAAAATGGTTATAACCCTTAAGGCCCCGTTTAGCATGCGTTTTATTTTTGCTTTTTTTATTTTTGAGTTATTACAATGTCGATTTTAGTAACAAAAACATGTTTGGTATGGCCAGTGCTAAAACACTTCATGAATACTAGCCCAAAATTAAAATACCAAAAAGTTATTTTTTTTTTATTTTGACAATTGTTTATGGCTCAAAACCATACACACGGGTCAAAAACAAAACGTCTAAAATATTGTTTTCAAACGTACTTTCAATTTTTTTTTCAAAACACTCCTACAACAAAAATACTCTTTCTGTTTTAACCAAAAATAAAATACCTAAAACAAATCGCATGCCAAACGAGTTAGCGACATGCACAAGTACACAAACTTTTTAATGCAAAAGAAAAAGCATTTTAATTGAAAAAACAAAATAAAAAGTGAAGCACAATGCTCCCACGAAAACAATAAACTAGCTGGTCTCATACCTCCTCAAACTCTTTAATGAATGGTGATTAATTAGTTATCTAACTAACTAAACTTCATCCAAAAAACAAAAAGAAGCGTAAGGGCCATTGAAATTAAATATAAATATAAATATAAATATAAATTACTAATAAAGTACATGCATGCAACTGATCATTAATCAAAGAATGTACTGGGAAAGAATAAGAAGTTGACTACCATGGAACACCACAAAAGGTAGAGAATTTGTGGTTGCTACGACACTCATCATGATTATGAAGATGATGAAAGAAGTAGTTGCAGCCATTGTTTTGGAGAATAAATATATTAGGGTGTACTTGCAACAATACGAGACTTGTAGGGAGGAATGCAGAGAATGAAGAAGGGATACATCTATATATATATAGAGGGAAGCTGGAGAGAGAAACTAGAGAGAGAATAATGAATTGATACGGTTAGGTTGGAGGTACGTGGCCTATTTTTTAATAAAAATTAAAACGTTTATTACACTATAATAAGATGAAACAAGATAGGTGATACCATGTTATTAATATTATTAGTTAATTATATCTATTTACACTAATAAAATCTCATGATAAATATTAATTTCATTTTTAAGAAAAATCGAATAATTTTTCAAACCATCTATGTAATTATGACAAATGAGATACGTGTAATTTATTCTTTAAAATTTAATATATCTACACACAAACACACTTAAAATATGTAATAATGAAGGAAAACATGTGGAAGTGCGCATCATAAATGTGTTAAGAAATTAAAATATTAGTTAATTATATCTATTTACACTAATAAAATCTCATGATAAATGTTAATGTCATTTTTAAGAAAAATCGAATAATTTTTCAAACCATCTATGTAATTATGACAAATAAGATACTTGTAATTTACTCTTTAAAATTTAATATATCTACACACAAACACATTTAAAATATGTAATAATGAAGGAAACATGTGGAAGTGCGCAATATAAATGTGTTAAGAAATTAAAATGAGAGTTACGCGTGTGTATGTTTAATATAACTTATAGGAGTATATGGGTAGGTGTGTGTCATGCGTAGGTAGGTGGTGTAAGAAAATGGTGTAAAATGTGAAAGAAAGACAGCGTGTACATAGTCAGTGCATGGGTGAAAGAAAAATGTGTAGCGCCAATGAAGGTGTGCTTCTCTGCACTTGTTTACCATACTTGGGAGGAAAGGAATGAAAAGATCTTCAAGAAGAAAAGATCCTCTCAGAGGATAGTACTCGCTCGAGTTTGTTCCACCATCACTGCAATCCTTAAGCTTGGTTTCCTCTAAGATTGTCCCACTTCTAGAAGAATACTTTATGAATGGAACATCTCCCCCTCATGCTGTCGACCTCCACCTCGTCCTCCAGACTGAATTTTGCCGACAAATTCACCGAAATACATGCCCTAATCAACACCAGATTGTAAGGCAAATAACATCCATTAACGGCTTTTCAGTCCGTTAATTCAGGTTATTAGCTGTTGTTCCGTATTGGGCCATTACATGGGCCTGGTCACTAGGTTTGCCCATCATTGGGCTGTTTCCCTAAAAGGGCTGTTTGCCTAATTGGCCCATATTGTATTTATTATTTTTTGTTACTTCAATGAAATTGCTTTAAATTCCAAAAAAAAAAGTCAATGATGGAACAGTGTAAATGAAGAAAACATAATTTGATATATGGTTACAAAAGTCAAAAAAGACACTTAAAACACTGAGGAGGCCCGAAGTGACATGGGCCAGATATGACCCGCGAACACGACATCCGGTCCGTGCAGATGGGTCAAGCCCATAGAGAGACACTGCCATATGGGCCGAACGCGAATAGCCCATCAAAGATGACCAAAAGCTCACAGAGGAACGGGCCCAGATCTAGCAGTCCATTAATGTTTGTAAGTATCTATAAATAGGAGAGGTAATGGATAGAGGAGGGGGATTTTTTCTGTTGAAGTGTAAGAGTTCTAGAGAGAGAAAGAAAAAACGAATTTCTTGCATCTTCAATTGGCGCCGTCTGTGGGAAGCGTTGAAGATTGATTGATCATTGATCAATATCGCGTGGATTCAGACCAATTCGTGGAAACGAAACTCGATCTTTGGGAGTTGGATCCAGATCTAAGCGATTGTGACCTACTCTGGAGGAATTTTAGTTCCTGTTGCTTTGGCGGAAGTGGCTTCAGATCTACGCAACAACGAGTAGTTCGAATTTGACGGATTTAGAATTCGGACAATTCAGATCTCGTCAACCGCAAGCATAATTCGGAGAATTCGAAACCAGATCTGAAAAATTCGCACTTACGAAGCTCAGATCTACTCACGAACTTGAGATTAATGCCTTTACTCCGTTCAGGAATAATGATAGGTGAAAGCTCCAATCCGATGGAGGCTGTCCAGCAAACGAAGCTTGAGGAGTTGATGAACTTGATCGAAGCTCTCAAAAAAGAGAATGCAGAATTGAAAGCTGGAATGCAACATCAGCAAATACCCGCGGTTTCGCATCCACTTCCGGCCGGTGAAGGAGGTGTTCAATCTAATATCGCACATCAAGGCGAGCAGGACGAGAACAATCAGTCAGCTCTCCACCGTGATGAAAGGAGGATGGACGATTTGCCGCCAAATGTTCGTCGAGTTGAGGATCACAAAGGATCGACTCACGTTGATCTGCGACATGAGCAGATCAGACAGAACGAAGCCATGACCTTCGATCCGCATCGGGAAAGGTTCAACCGAGAGGAAGTGATAGAGGTTGATCGCCACCGAGTTGTGTCACCTTGGCAAAGAAAGCTCATAGAGGAATGGTCGTTCGATCCGTCCTACCGGCCCTTCATGGCTACAATCACTCATCGCGGTTCGGAGAGCAGAACCGTAGCTCACAGAGCTACAGCTGGGCTCCAGAGAGAGAATGAAGCACTCCGATCCGCGGCTCGGACGGTTGATTCACCATTCACTGACGAGATCCTGAATGCCCCGCATCCAAGGAAGTTTGCTATGCCAGTCTTTATTCTGTTTGACGGAACAACCGATCCGATCGATCATGTGTACCATATCCAGTTGAAGATGGCCCTGAATACGGAAAACGACTCTTTAATGTGCAAATGTTTCCCTACAAGCCTAGCTGGACCGGCGCTCAGCTGGTTCAAGAACTTGCCTAGGAGCTCCATTGGTAGCTTCCGAAACCTGTGCGATCGGTTCATAAGCCAGTACTATGGGAACAAGCGTCCGCCAAAGGACATCTCGAGCCTATTCACAATGAGACAGCACAAAGATGAACGTCTCTAGGCTTTTCTCACCAGGTTTAATCTCACTAAGAGTATGGTGATCAAATGCCACCATTCTACAGCGGTTCAAGCCTTCAAGTTAGCTATGACACGTGGCACTCCGTTCCATACCAGTCTGGTAGTGAACACGCCGACGACTATGGATGAACTCAATGAAAAAGCCGATGGCTTTGTGCGCCTAGAAGAAGAGGAAGCAGCCAATGCTCGGACAGCGTCGGTCGTGTTGACCGAGGAAAAGTCCAAGGCAAAGATCAGGCAGAAGCAGGCTCAGCCGCAACGTCAGACCTCCTGGAAGGCAGAAAAGAGGTCCAGGGAGGAAGAGCTGATCACTCCGCTGAAGGTCACTCTGGCGAGGCTATATCAGGAGAACAAAGATAAGTTTCATCCACCACTGCCAATTAGGCAACCCCTCGAACAGAGGGATCAGACTAAACATTGTGCTTTCCATTCCGATTTCGGTCATCAGACTAACGAATGCAGGAATTTGAGAAGGCAAGTAGAGATGTTGATAGCTAGAGGGGAGTTCGCGAGTTATGTTCAAGGCTCAGCGATAGAGCAGAATCGACCGATGGAGCAAGTAAAAAGGAGTCATAAACAAAGCTCCCACAATTCACAACCAGTTCGTATAATCAATGCTATCCACGGTCGACCCGAGCCCAGCGAAGATTCAGATGAGCTACTCCGAGCGCGCCTACGGCAGGCGCAGATAAAGAAAAGGGTCAGCAGTGTGAATACTCTGCACCAACAGATCATATCGATACAGATAAAGTTCGACAAAACAGACCTGCAGCGTGTTCAAGTCCCCCATGAAGACCCGTTGGTAGTCAGCTTGACAGTGGCGGACTGCCTGGTGCGCAGAGTTCTGATCGATCCCGGAAGCAGTACGAATGTCATGCCGAGGGACACATTTGATCGGCTCGAGATTAAACCAGAGAGGCTCAAGCCCACTGGAAATCCCCTGTTAGGATTTGATGGCAAGAGGGTGGAGCCCGTCGGAATGGTGGAAGTAGAAGTTCAAGCTGCAGAACGAGCTCTTATGGAAACTTTTGTGGTTGTGGAGATTCACCCCTCGTACAATCTCCTGATGGGAAGAGGATGGATTCACAGAGTCCAAGGTGTACCCTCAACTCTACATCAGGTCATGAGGTGCCTCGGACCCGATGGAAATAAGGTGATAGACATTCGTGGGGATCAGATTGCAGCCAAAGAGTGTTATTCCGTCACACTAAAATATGCTGGGAAAGGGAAGGCGCCTGTCCGTTCAGCGAGCCCCAGATAGCAATTACAGGAACCTCCGCCCAAGCAGAATAGGGTGGAGGAGTCAGTTGACTTGACCGAAGAGCCCCTTCTGGATGTGCAGATCGATCAGTCCAGGCCAGAGCGAACTACTAGAGTAGGAGTAAGACTGACCAGGGAAGAGCAGCAAGAGCTAATTGACTTCTTGTCTCACAATGCCGATGTATTTGCATGGAGTCACCTAGACATGCCTGGAATTTATCCCTCCGTATCCTGTCATTCCTTGAATGTCAATCCCAATTTCAAACCAGTAAAACAGAAGCAACGAAGATTTGCTCCAGAACGTAACCAAATCATAGCCGATGAAGTTGATAGGCTGCTTGATGCGGGATTCATCAGAGAAGTGCACTACCCTGATTGGTTGTCCAACGTCGTTGTCGTGCAGAAGAAGAATGGGAAATGGCGAGTATGCATTGATTTCACCAATTTGAACAAAGCCTGTCCGAATGATAGCTTCCCGCTGCCAAAGATTGATCAAATGGTGGATGCCACCACCGGGTATGAGCGTTTAACCTTTCTGGACGCTTATTCAGGTTATAATCAGATCCCTATGGACCCGGCAGATGAAGAAAAAACTTCTTTTGTAACCGAGCGAGGGATATACTGCTACAAAGTTATGCCTTTCGGACTAAAGAACGCGGGAGCAACTTATCAAAGACTTGTTAGCAAAATTTTCAAGGATCAAATAGGAAAGATTGTGGAAGCCTATA